AAAGTCATTTTCAAAATTGAAATGTATTCATCCTAAATGAAATACGAACTTGACTTTCGGAACATCTTTGCTAAAACCACCCCGTCCAGTTTCTGACGCTCTCCCAACCAACAGGGTCCCTACACGTGCCGCTACTGCGGCGAGACCTTCAAAGCCAAGGAGCACCTGAACCGTCACGAGCGGATCCACACGGGCGAGCGTCCGTTCCCGTGCGTTCTCTGCGGCAAACGGTTCAGTCGGAAGGACCACCTCAAGATCCACGTGCTGATCCATACCGGCGAGAAGCCGTACAGCTGCACCATGTGTAACAAGCGCTTCACCCAGAAGCAGACGCTGATTGAGCACGAGAACGTGCACCTGGGGAGGAAGCCGTTCAGATGCGACCTCTGTGACGCTTCGTTCCCGGCCAGAGGTGAGTACTGTGAATGGGACCAGATGGGAGAGGATGGGAGGATGAGATGGATGAATGGAACAATAAAAGGGCTCAGAAAGGAAAATTCAGTCATTTTTGGATGGAGGAAGGGCTGTGATAAAAGAAATCGAGAAGAGTAAGCAAATTATGCTAAGTTCGAATCATCCTTTCAGAGACGCTTCCTTCTTTTTTGTTAAGCGAAGTCTATTGATAATATTGTCGTAATGGTTTTAGGGATATTCGTCTTTCTCCGTGTTGTATGTAACGGATGATTTTGTTTCGATATATCAAGTCATTTTTTGTCAGGCCCTTACAATAGCGATAGCCCCTGAGCCCCCCCCCCCTCCCGTCTGTCTTGCACTGTGTCTAAACTCTAGTCTAAACCCATTGCCTTCCCCGCAGGTAACCTCAAGTACCACAAACGGAGTGTGCACGGGTGCGCCCTGAACACCCCGGCTTCCCGGAGCACCCCAGCCATCGAGACGGCGTCCGAATAGCGCCCCGGAGAACCCACCGGGTTCTCAGGGCCGTCCGGGGATACACGGACTCCGGGAGGACCGCAGGAGACCGGTGGGACGCTCCGGGGCCGCGGAGACGCCCGAGAATCGTGGTCAGAGATGGTTCTCAGATGAGATCTTAATGGGTTCTTAGATGAGACCGTAGAGGGTTCTCAGATGAGACTCGTCAGGGTTTTCAGAAAGGACTTGGCTGAGTTCTCTGATGAGATCTCACTGGGTTATCAAATGAGACCTCTCTAGGTTCTCGGGTATGTCTCAGCCCCTGGCTGACGTCGGGAGTTTGCTCCGTGTCAGGTTTGACGGTACCTGGGCATGCCCGGATGTGCCGGGATGCATTGACTTTTACTGGATCCCTGTGGGGTCGCGGTGGATCCGCCTTGGGATCCGGTATCGGGATCCAGCAGCTGCCGACTGGGACACCGCTGGCGGTGCGTTTCCAAGTCGAACGCTGTAACTTCAAACGCAAACTCGCGTACACCCCTACAAACACACATACAAACAACAAACACACATACAAACAGAGACAAACTGGTGGAATTGGAGCGACCCCGCTGAGCGGCGGCTCGCAGGTCCACCGGCCCACGCTGCGCCGTAGATTCGGCCACGTAGCTGAGCGTAGAAATCACCCCGTCGTGATTGCTATGATACAGACCCACGGTTATTTCAAGGGCAGGACAGCAGGCATTATATACTGAGGTACAACATTTTAAGGAGGCTTTTCGTTAGCCTCGTTCGCGGCGAGCGAACGCGTGCAGTCGGCTGGCTCCGGCCGGGACGCGATTCGGTAGAGGTAGTTGTAGTATTTGTATCTTTTGCGGGGACGTAGTACAATGTCGCGGAGGTTCGCGCGCTCTCTCCACGCATCCGGCGTAGATCTGGGCGAGATCGGCACGGCATTGCCGGTTGGAGCCCTCGCGCGCGTGAATAAGCGCTTCCATACTTAGGTAGAGTTTATGCTTGAGTGGGTAGGACAGGCACAGTTATGTTTAAGATGTTTAAGAGCAGTTAATGTGTGGATGTGGTGGGGGATTTTTAAGAGAGATGGTTGGGGATGGTGTGAGAGCATGAAAGCATGGCGGATTGTGGTTATGTTTAAGGTCAAACTAGGTAGGTTTTATTGAAATGCTTTTGTGGCGTTTCAGTTAGAATGCCTCGTGTCACGCGTTGTGTTAAGCGTGAGACCTGGCAGGGCACGGCAGTTGCGTTTGTCTAGATTGCGTTTAGGAAGATCCGGGCAGGCTAACGCACGTGAGAACGTTTATCGCGAGAGTTTGAGTCATCGCGTCCACGCGCGGTTTCGTTTTATGATCCTTTGCGCCGATGGATTCCCGCGGGCATACGATTATTGTAGTCGCTAGGCATTGGGCGGAGGCTGGTACACGTCCCAGCTGACCCCGCGCTCCCCGAAGGTGCTCGATCGAACAGTGCGCGCGCGCGCGCTGCTCTGCAATTTCGTAAAGCTTTATTCCGGTCGGTTTGCGTGTGTGCAATGAGAGAGTGGGTAGACATTCCACAGTTTGTTTGACTGCGATGGTGACAGCCAAACGTGAAGCTTCCCTTCTTGTTCGCGTGGTATTCTGGTTATCTGCAATTGTTGTCGGCTCGCGGACTTCTGGTGGCGCTCCATTCTCTATTTACCTCCCCGGTGGCTGAATGCGTATCCCAGCAACCATACACATTTCCTTTGAAGAACCAATGTACAACGGCCACCAACAGATCGACAAACATTATCGCTACGCTTCGTGAAGTTCCCCTCCATATCAGTTGCATTTTCTTATTGTCGGTTCTTGCGTTTTTTCCACCTCACTAAGGGTCCCCAAAACTGGCCTATTGTCAGCCACTGTTCACGTTTACACTAAGCGTGCCCTGTCGCTGTGTGCTTGTTTGTCCGCCGTTTCCAGCTCGCTGCGCCGTTTTCTGGTTTTTCGTTTCCAGCTCGCTCGGCTGTTTTATCGTTCCTTGTTTCCTGCTTGATCGACGAAGCGTCTTGCTTTGTCTTAAGTGCCTTGCGTATGATGTTCTCGCAGCGTATACTGCTAAGGTCCCCGATGTATGGGCAAGTTGAAATGATTGTGAAGAGTGATGTACGTCTTCCGTGGACAGGATGTGTGTTGATCCCTTTCTTGTGTGTAGTTGCTTGTGTTTGCTATGGGGTGTCTGATGTTATGTTGCGATGTCTGCAGATTTTGTGGATGTCTGGATGTCTCATGCAGACATATCAGTATTTCTGATGCTTGTCTGGAAGTCTGGTTGAGATATCTATGGCTGATACGGTTGTCTAGAAGTCTGGTTCAGATATGTTTGTCGGTTTTGAGTGTAACTGGTGGTACCTACCTTCGGTCGTCTTCTGCCGGATATCACAAACCCAGGGCGTGTCTGCTCTCCTTGTCCCGTTACCTCACTCGCCACCGTTGCCCCATACCGCTCAATGAGACCTCTCCTTGCGCCGGCCCAGGTCACACTTCACCTCACGACTGTGTGCGGTGTGTGGTGGCAGGTCGGGTGTTTCGAGTTTTATCCCTCAGTCGTCAGACCACCACACGTCGGTTTTGGCGGCGTCCGAGTGCCTTACCATGTCTTCCCGGGACCTATTCCCCTGTTCATGGGTGACCTCAAGTCTTGTTTGTCCGTGTGTCGAGTGTTGATTGTTGAGCGAGTTTGTTGTAATTTTGTCCGACCCAAAAGGATTCGCTGTGCGTTCCTTCAACCCCAGAGTCAATCATTTTTACGAAACCTTTACGACGTTGAGTGACTGTGTGATGACGGAGTGATGTTGGATCTTCGTTTTCGAAGCGGGATGTGAATGTTTGCTTTGCGTGGAAGTCTGAGTAGAGACCATATGTATAAGTATAATTTACTTTGATATCCATCGTGCGAGTTAGGGGACGGGCATCCCAGTCTGATTTTTATGCGTGTTTGTAATGAGTGTGATGCTTCGACGCGCCTCCGATGTGCCTCTGGGGTCAACTTGACCCTGCGAGGTCAACCGGGACTCTGAGAGGTCATCGGTGATGCCTCCGAGCGTCGGTAGTTGTATTTTTGCGTTAGTCACGTGCTGAGTTGAACCGCGGACCTCTTTTCAAAGATACACACATCGCCAGTGTGAGAAACCAATCTTGCCTGCTCAACGGACGAGCGCAGGTCGCTCGACCGCTCCGGTACTCATCAGCGTCCCCTGTGTCGGCCAAATCCCCCCTCCACCCCACCCCACCCTCACAATCTGGTGCCTGGCGCACGAGCTCACACAAACACACACCGGTGCCGGCGCTGCGCGCGGGCGCGGCCCCCCGGCGATGCAACAGTCTGTACACCGCTGATGTTTTACGGATGACTTGTTATCTGTCTGAGGTGATTTGCACGATTTGTGTATCATTGATTCAGCGAGTGTGTATCTTGACGAGTGTATGCATCACGGTAATGACTGTACGAAACTATGGTAGTCAATATACCTACATGCATATATTACTCAGATTGGAGTTTGAAGGGTCAGCGGCCGATGGTGGGGTATGTTCGATTTGACGATGCGACTAGCCATCTTCTTCTCCAAGACTTTGCCCATCATTCAGTGGGATTGGTGTGTCTTTGGCTGGGAATTAAGTGGATTCAAACGCGTAACTTATTGAGATGGAGTCGAGAATCTTGAATCTCGGCCAAGGAGGCACGGGGCCGAAAGTTCTAGGTGCTGAAATACGGGAAGCAAAAAGTTGTGCGGGTATTCACTCGTGACTGAATGCCCTCGAATTTGCTACACGCCTGACGCCACGCCTAACGACAGATTCATCAGCGTTTTAGCATATGCGATGCTGGGCTTAGGGCTAACTGCCGCCCAGCCGCTGGCTTTAAACAAGAGGTATTCTATATTTGAGGGAATATACAATCAGCGACCTTTACCGGGAAATAAACTAACGCAGAGATAAGAAATATGTTTAAAATAGTACCCGTGGGTGGTGTATCCGTTAGAATCCCGGATGACCATAGGAAAATGGGCGAAATAGTATGCTACAAAAATTAGCAGCAAATTAGTGGTAAGCCTGCGCCATGTTTAGTTGTCACGTGGAGACATTTGCGCCGCAGGAATCGACCGCGTGGGGCAATCTCTCTTTCCTGGCGGATTCCGAGGCGTTTAGACCGTATTTAAAATATTCGCCGTTTTTATCATATACAATGGCTAAGGTAAGTTTCTGTCTTTGTTTCTAGGAATGATTAAGTTGATGTCGAAGCTAAGAACGAGCACTATGGTCATTGAGTTGTGATGTTATTGGGATCTATGCTTTTGAGGGGGCACTTCCACTTTGTTTGCGTGGACTGCTAGAGCGTTGTACATATTTTTCCATTTTTTTCCTCTGCTTATTATATATTTTTCAGCTAATTTAGCGATTTTTAATCTGTCATCCATTCAGCCTGGTGAATAGATGATTATGTTGTATCTCGGCAACGGGTTTACCGCGTACAAGCTCCACCTTTACAAGTTTTTCATGGCTCAGCTAGTGTCAATTGGTGAAGGAAGTCACCATTCAAAATTGATTTTCAACTTTTGACTTAGATTGAAAGAATAAAATTGTTTGGGTGCTGTTAATTGTATTTGGGTGTGGCTGATGTTGGAGAATCGGTCCACAGTAGGGTATTGTTATAGCAGGCGTCTCACATGCTGCCACTGGTTTGGGAAAAGTCGCTAGATTCGTCAGTTCAATGCAAACTATCATCGGGATACTGGGGGGGCGTAGGGGGGATTGCCCCCTTGCCGATAGTTCGGGAACGGCTGATCGGAGCCAGGCTTGCAAGGTGGCGTTGGAAAGCGGTCGAGTAGACAAGCCTAATTAGTAATGCAAACTATCATCAGGATACTTGGGGGGGTGAAGGGGGGTAGCTTGCCGATAGCTCGGGAACGGCTGATCTGAGCCAGGCTTGCAAGGCGGCGTTGGAAAGCAGTCGAGTAGACAAGCCTAATTAGTAATGCAAACTATCATCGGGATACTGGGGGGCGTAGGGGGGATTGCCCCCCTTGCCGATTTTATATTCATCTCAGATCAGCAGCTGGCCGGGAGTCTCATTCACCGAGTACCCTGCACCTGCTGTTTCAGTCGCCACCGCTGCAGTCTGCCGCTGGGTGTCTTCTCCCCCCTTCCCCAGTCCCTCGCTCGTGCGGTGGACTCCCGGCGCTCGGGGGGCCGGCCCGCATCTGTGTGTGCCCGTGTGGCGGGCCGGCCCCCGCCACGGCCTCTGCTGCCTCCCATGTGGTCGCCGGGGTCCGCCGGGCGCCGCAGCCGCCACCCTGTGTTCTGAGTGAAATGTGGCGGTAGGCGCGCGCCGTCCCCCGCCGGCCGGCCGCGCTGACCTGACGTGACCTGGCGGCCGGCCGGCGGGACGGTCCACGATCGGTAGAGATTGGTGTGGGGTGGGCTCGCCGGAGGGAGAGGAGGGACGAACGGACAGCTGGTACCCGTGCGCTGGTGAACGGATGTAAGCTATGTGGTTTGGGAAAACTGATCAGCATTCTAAAATGACAATTTAAACTGGTTTAAAACAATATTTTCCCGTGATCTTTGAATCTGTGTTTTCGTTTAGCAACTGCACATTCTCATTCCTGTTTTCTCTATCACCGGGGGAAATAAAAGTCATTCAAAAAGATGTCCAAACACTTAGCTAAGTATTGTTATGCATATTTTTGTGGAAATTTATGAAGTGTAAAAAACACGGGCAGTATGTGGTCTAATTTTTGACGCACTTTCTTTTACCAGGCTGCCAAGACCCCCGTGAAGACGCCGGCCGGCACCCCGGGCCCCAAGACGCCGAAGATGAAGCCCCAGCAGACGCCCAAGGGCGGCGCCAAGCCCCAGACTCCGGGTATGAAGAACGGCACCACCCCCGGTAAGACGCCCAAGAAGACTCCCAAGCCACAGCCAGACACCCCGATGCCGCCCCGTCAGACGCCCAAGAGCCAGCCTCAGACGCCCAAACCACAAACGCCCAAGCCTCAGACGCCGAAGCCACAGCAGCAGAAGACGCCCAAGCCTCAGCAGCCGGCGCCCAAGCAGAAGACGCCGCAGCAGCAGAAACAGATCAACCCGCAGAAGGGCAAGTGGCAGAAGTCGCCCAAGGAGCAGGCCAAGGTTAGTTGTCTTTTTTAGAAGTGTTTTTTTTTTCGTTCTGAGAATCTAGTTCCAGGTATTACCAGATTGTTTTCACTTCCTATAACTGAGTCGCGATGGTTTCATATCGGTCTTATTTCCAAATCTTGAACTCTGAACTCACACTTATAAGATTAATCATGTAGATCATGTAGATTAGATCAGTGTCGGAAGACTTTGTCCGTTCCAGAATAACCTAGTTCGTTCGCGGCTGATTGTCGAGTAGTGAGGGAAGCGTTTTCAGATTGCTTGGCAATGCTGTGGGCGTAGTTATTTTTACGTCCCGAACATTGACTTTTACAGTTAGCTCGAGTACCAAGATGTCCCTCACATCACCCCTGCCCCTTCTGTTCTGACAGATGGTGGGTCCCAACGCGAAGGCGGCGCGTGACACGCAGGCGCGCACGGTGCGTCTGACGTTCCCGGCCGGCACCCTGCAGTCGGTGGAGCAGGTCAAGAAGCTGGTACCCACCGCCACCTCGGTCAAGTTCCCCAAGTGAGTGACACGATCATGACCGCGGTCTCCGGAGAGCCGAAATTTAGGGCATAACTTGATCGTTTGGGTGATTAGTTGGTTGGCTGATATATTTAATGTTTGATCCTATTTTGTCATATTTTTATTGTTCATGTTTGCAACTTAGTGCTGTTTATATCGTAATATTTTACAGGGCTTGTTTAGAGCGCATCGAATGAACACGAAACGGGCATTTCATGAATCGGGAATGTAATTAACCCTTGCCGATGGCTATTTGTTTTTGGCTAGTCTTGCCTCTTACCAGTTCAGGTTTTCACCAGACCTGAGCCAGTTCTGTCTCCCCTTACACTGCACAGTGCACACTGTGTTTGTGGAGTTTGCCTCACAGTTATGATAATCCCCCTTTCCCAGCGTGGTGTTTGTGGAGTTTGGCTCGCATTTATTATATATTTTCCGTCTCCTTCAGTGTTGTGTTTGTCGAGTTTGGTTCCGAAGCCGAGGCGGACAAGCAGCACTCGAAGCTGCAGCCGCTGATCGCCGACGGACAGCTGAACCAGGTCAACTTTGTCGGAGAGAAGGAGCGAGAGTTCCAGTCCAACAACCGAGGCATGGATAACACCAGGTGAGTAAGAGACAGACAGACAGACAGACAGAGACAGAGAGAGAGGGGGGGAAGGAGCGAGAGTTTCAGAACAACCGGGGCATGGATAACACCAGGTGAGAAGGGTCTCGACATGAGGCTAGAGGAAGAAAAGAGACTTGGAGTTGCACATCAAAGTTTCGACTATCTTTCAAATAAATGGACCAGTGGCCTTGTCACTTATGGCTGAACATTTCCATATGGTGGAGCCCCATATCATAATTGATATGAGCAATGAGGAACGATCATTTTAGATTTAACTCTGAGCTTCACAGCTCAATCTCTTTTTGCCGCAGCCTTCGCCTTGTCCGTTGATCCGCAAGCGAGCTTGCATCGTATATCAATCCATGTGTCCGTCTGCCTTGCTCCGTTCGGCCGCCGCATCTGACCCCCCCCCCCCCCCCTCCTTTCAGGCTATTTGTGCGCGGCATCGGGAGCGCCGTTGAGGCTGACATCAAGAAGCTGTTCCCCACTGCCATCTCCGTGGTGATCCGGGGCACCAACAACGCGCGCGGCAAGTCGCACCAGCACAAGTACTGCTTCGTGGTGTTCGCCACGGCTGCTGCCTGCACCGAGGCGCTCGAAAAGTCCAAGGGTGAGTTGGTGGGGGGGGGGGGGGAGGGAAGGGGTGTGTGGGAGATAAAAGGCGATTTGGTATGTATTGCTGAGAGCTTGTAGAATTGATAGAAATTTATCATGCAGTTTTTCGTGGCTTCTAGCGCGAGAAGTTGAAGCCTGTGTGTGAGCTGTAATTGTTTATTAGTTGCGTACCGTATTCGTTCAACATTTATTGTTTCCTAGTTGGCTAAACTATTTTTGGCATGGCTTTATACGTGATATTTCCCGTAGCTATCCGCGGGCATAAAATAAAATTCACTCGCGGTTCTATTTTAGCACGTGCATTTTTTCGTCGTTTCACTCCGTCTCTTTTTCGTCTAGATCATCACGTTCTCTACGATCTTTGGCTGCACTGCGAAATATGTAACCCTTTTTGTATCCCTCTAGGCCATGTCTGACCCTCTTTCGTCTCTGCCGCGCCATTACTGACATTTTGTCTTCTCCCTCGCCAGGCCTGACTCTGTTCGGAAACCCGCTGACTGTCAGCTACGCCTTCCTGAGGAAGGCACCGGGAGCGGACGCAAAGGCCGAGAAGAGGCCCGCAGAGGCCGCAGAGACGGCCGTGGAGGCCCCCGCCAAGAAGGTCAAGGTAGAACCCAAGGTGGAGGAAGAGGAAGACGATGATGAGGATGACGACGAAGAAGAAGATGAGGATGAGGAGGGTGAGGATGAAGATGACGATGAGGAAGAAGACGACGACGATGAAGAAGGAGAGGATGATGATGATGACGACGACGACGATGATGATGATGAGGATGATGACGATGACGACGACGATGACGATGAAGAGTGATGTGCACAGGACGTTTGGAAGGGTAACTGCGTCTCACACGGGATATAAGGCGCGGCGATTTCTAGCGTTACGCCTCATCCGCATCTCACCATATACAAGGGACATTCAGGTGTCATTGCATTGTTTTCATATGGGTCTTGTGTGTCGCCTCGTTTGATGTGGCTGACGTGAGCATTGAGCTGAGAGGGCTCGAGAGCTTGTCGAAAAATATATGATAACGTCTTTATTCAGTTGTTTTCAGCTTTCGGGTGGGCGTTTGGTGGTATCATTCATCATTGTATTTTCATTACGCGAGACAGCACTCGCTGGTAGCTTCCATCAGCCCAAATTGCGAAAGCAGTCTGCAAGTGAAGGCCGGATATAGGGATAAATAAATGGAATATCGGATGTCTGCAGTTGCATAGTGTCCGCGTCGTTGAGTTGCGGATTTAGAGGGCATCATATGACTCAGTCAAGGGCTACCATATGAGCTCGGAGTACTAAACTGCCAAGAACGAATATGGGAAGGTATTAGCCAAGAAACCCGTTACGCGAAAAAGAGACACTATTTTGCAAGCACTGTTCGTGACTCCACTCACAAAAACCTGAAACAAAAGCAATTTTCAAAGCAAAAACTACAGGAGCTGTTCTTGCGTAGTCGTCAAATGCTTTGATTCGAAATTTACCCCGCGTTCGATGTCTCTCGGACGGCAAAGATTCTACGTCGTCCGGCCAATCTCGTCCAAGGTTAGCGGGGACTCGGCTGCGGTTATGGAACGTGATTGGCCGGACGGCGTAGAATCTTCGCCGTCCGAGAGACATCGAACGCGGGAACGTGAACGCATCGAACCGAGAATCCGCCTAGAATTTCGGGTTTCGCCTAGGACTGTGCGCCAAGGAGCTTTGCATTCGGTTGGTGAACCGGGTGAGTATCACGTGAACCACCACGTATTTTCAGGGTATATAGAACAACCGTATTTTGTGCATAGTGTGAACATATGTTTTGTGTGAACACAGTAGTGGGGGTGATGTTGCACATTGTGTGTGTATTTCTTTATTATTTTGTAATTAATTTAGGGTTGTGAACTGTCAGCAATTAACCATTGTTGAATTGTCGACTTAAGAATTGGATTGGATTGGTGTTCAAGCAAGGCTTTTGAATAAGGATTCCTAACCGATATCTTTTCATGCAAGGTGAGCGGTAGGAATGAGTGTTATAATTGTATCCAAGTCTTTTTTTATTTTCTCCATGTCACATCAGTTTAGACAGGTAGTTAGCTGATTGCAGGTGTGTGATTTTGATAGAAGTTGTATCGTTTTAAAATGGCTCGTAATCAAATGACTGCCTATCATTTCCACAGAATGTCTGACTCCGTGGAGGAGTGGGACGTGGAGCGGGTGCGGCAATGGCTACACGAGCACGGCTTCTCCAGCTACACAAACCTGCTCTGCGATCCGCACCGGCTGGATGGCAGCTGTCTGCTGATGCTGACGGAACAGGACCTCAAACAGCCACCACTAGAAATCAAGGTTGGATGTCAATTGAACTGTTTTTCTCAGAGAACCAGTCGGACTAGATGTCGGGGGCTTGGGGCATTGGTGAACTGTGAATTGAGTTAACTGTGAGTGGGCCTTTTTGTTCTGTACCATTGACACTATTGCTCTGCCTCATCTGATTTAAATTTATGAATTTGGTTGAAAATGTATAATGAGGTAGTAGTAGTAGCATAGCAGCAGCACCCATACCTGTCTGTTCTGGATGCCTATGATATGACCTTAGTATTGTCAGATTTCCAGTTAATAGTTTGACTTGACAAATTTTCATATGTGAGTTTCCAATCAAGCCAATGAATTTAACTTGACAAAATATTTCCTAACCAGTTCACACATAACCTATCTTACCCTGACACAATCTGACCTTTGTTTTAGGCAGTTTGAACTTTGAAGATTTTTCAAAGATATCTAATGGACAAGATGAATAAATGCTCAGAGACGTTGTTTATTGTTGGCAGTTATCACTTAGTTCCTATTTAATGGCAGGCATTACCAGGTAATGGCACTTCAGTTTTCATGGAGACATGGTAGCCGAGAGCCTTGAAACAGGGGCTTGAGCCTTTGATGTTTGACAAGTACGATCTTCCTCCTCCCCTCCGACCTCCACCAGGTTCTGGGGGACGTGAAGCGCCTCTGGCTGCGGCTCTGTGAGCTGCAGGGCGCCGGCTCCCGTCCCTCGGCGGTGCTGGGCTCGCCCCGGAAACAGCGCCGGATTGCGGCGGTCGAGTCCAGTGACACAGATGCCGTGGAAGAGGTCCCCGAGAGGTGAGCCCAGGCTGGAGAGGGAAGGTTTGGGATTTGTTTTAGCAGAGAGTTCATATGCTTACTTAGAATGAGTTGGGGATAGGATGATAAGAGTCAAACGTTGAAATACGGGTGGCTGGGAAGGTAATCATGTGAAACAGGGGTGTAACTTTTGCTTTTTAGATGGGGGTGCACTTGGTGATGGGGGCGACCTTCAATGAGGGTAGGGGCGCTTCCAAGGAGCATAGATGGTGCATATCTCTCAACAGGCGCGCACACAGGATTTTTGAACGGGGGGGGGGGCACGACCTGCAAACTGGGGCCCTCCATGCCGAAGGGCCCCAGGCTCCAGCCGAAAAAGTTCCCCAACGCGATTATATTTCGGTTGACTTGAAACTAAGCTTCTGTTGATACATGATAAAACAATTACTTCAGTACCCGTTCAATTTTCAAAGCATTTAATTTTCCATTTTTGTTTACGCAGCGTGTTTCATTCACATACGCTTCAGTGAGTAATTATCAACATCTTAACAATTACGTAAAATATTCGATTAATAAGCGTGGATGCAAGGCCCTCAGAAATCAGCGCGGGTAGCGCCTGACTGCCGGCCGGCCGACCGACCCAGCCTGGCTACACTGTAAAAAATATTGACTAGCCCCTCGTCAAATGATTCTCAACGCTAAATGTCGGGGGTACAGACTAGTTTTGCATCCTACTTTTGACACACGCTGCGAGCCCCTGGCTTGTTTTGTGTTCGTCAGATGACAGTTACCAGGTGTCGGTTAGTTTTTACCACGTCCCAAAAATAGCTGGAGCGTTTCTGCCTTGTTTTGGAAGCAGGTCCTCGTTAATGCTGTGTATGGTAACAAAGTACCTAGTAACAATAATAACGAAAAACAATGTCAAAACGAGGGCGGCTTGTTTAGTGACGATGCTCAAAAGAAGCATCGTCTTGTTCCTACTTAACGAATGAAGCTCAAACTAGGTCAAAACTAACGTATTGCTCAACCCATAGTCAGATGACCAGCAGATCCTACGCCGCCCAATCCAGTCATCGAATTTGCCAGCGAATTCGTTTGAAGACCATCATATTATTAAATATCGGTGGTCTTCAAACGAAATCCCTTACCAGTTTGATGACGAATTCATCCGGCCCATTCCAAAAACGCTCAAGATAAAATGAAAGTGTATTTCTGAAATAATATGCTTTCTTGCAATGCACCTTTCGTATATCAAGCGAATCTTTCACTTCCAGCGCCCGTTTACAGTTATCAATCGAATCAGAAGCATGCACATACCTATCGATAGATCTGAACCTAAGAACACAGACGACATTTTGTAGAGTACCTGTCTGAGCCTATGCAGTGGAGCCCGTGAGCCGCCCAACCGCAGCTGCCTCATGAACTTGATGATAGGTCTGAACCTCAGATTGGCCAGAGCTTGGCCGTCAATAACCAGCTTATTTATATCCACAGTTGTAGTGACTTAGGGTTTGGAATTTGCCAAACCTAAGTTTTGATTACCAAGAGAAGTTTTGTACTTCTTGCACTTGCCCTTTCTTCATAACTTTGGCGGAAATCGTCGTAGTGAAACTTCAGTGTTCCGTTAGCTGTCGGTTCTTGAGAGAGTTGGCCAGGCCGGACACCGGGGGCGGCTCCACAACTTTCGAAAAATTAAACCTAAGTCCTATTGCACTGCATGGAGAGCAATTTATTTAAAATCGCTCTTGTTTCGCCCCCCCCCCCCCTCGACAACTTTGCAAACGTCTCTGCGCGATTTGGTTGAGAATAATGGCTTATGGCAAGTTATTGAATCAGAACGTCGATCACTGCAGGTCATATATCGGCAAGCAATTCTTCATAACTAGACACTGCACAAATGGAAACGATACAGGTTTGCCCAGTGATAAACACTCGCACTGCACAGACTCGCGCACCCCGGACGGAACGCGGCACGGCACAGCGCAACAGCTGGCGCCGGGAAGCCGGGAACGCATTAAGTGAAGGATTCACAGGTGCGCAACTTTATTGCGAACAATAAAAACCTACCGCAAACGATTAAAAAAAAAAAATTAGGGCAATCGGAAATACAAATGTATTGACTTATAGAAATAAAATTGTCATTCACCTTCCAAATAACCCAACAATTTATTTGCCGTAAAAAGTGTCTGGAAATGGAAAGTTGCTAACATGATTCAGCAAGTAGGGAAACGCAGCCGCTACCTGGCGAATAATCTCAGGCTGGTTTAGTGACAAGTGCATTGCTACGGCTTGTTCCTCAACCTTCACAGATTACTATGACAAAACTACCCCTAGTATTTTGATCATCCTGAGGCTGGCTTTCACCTAATAATTTGATGAGGGTCTTCCTCGTTTCGGATTGAGGCGAAAACAAACGTCAAACAACCTTGATAGTTAATTCAGCACTTCAAAACAAAGGTACACCTAGGGTATCATTACAATACCGGATCATAACGATCTGGATAGTTCTCAGCCTGTAAGCTAACTAAGCGGTAACTAGTCAAGTGGTAGGTACCGGAAGCATTGACAACCTGGTGACTGTTTCGAGACCCTTGTTTTGACACATAGCTCGTCAATATTTTTTACAGTGTATAGAAGCGTAGGCTAGTCACGGGTTGGTCCGGATGTGTATGAGCGGGGCAGCACCCCTTTGTCAATTCGCGCATTTACTAGTGCACATCGACATGAATTCTCATTTTTATACCACAAACCTACTACAAAGACACAATTTTGAGGCGGCATGCCCACTTTCCTAGTACCAGTCGTAACAGATATTCAGGAAGCCCGTACCAGGGCACGTACGGCGGCCCCGATCACCCACCTCTCGCTGTCCCGGCGGCGTGCGAGGGACCCACGGCGACCGCGCACCTCACCGACAAAGCAGCACTGTCACAACGAAGAAGCCCTCAAAGGGCCCGAAAATCCAAGGGCCCTTTGCGGCCTACTGAGGGCCGTTTGACGTCAGCTGAGGGCACTTTGGACCTAGCTGATGGCCCTTTGAGGCCTTCTGAGCGCCATTTGACGCCAGCTGAGGGCCATTTGATGTCAGCTGAGGACCCTTTGAGGCCTACTGAGGGCCCTTCGACGCCATTTGAGGGCCCTTTGAGGCCTTTTAAGGACCCTTTGACGCCAGTTGAGGGCCCTTTGAGGCCCTCTGAAGGCCATGTGACACCAGCTGAGGACCGTTCGACGTCATCTGAGAGCCCTCTGACACCAGATGGGGGCCATCTGACGCCAGCTAAGGGCCCTTTGAGGCCTTCGGAGGGCCGTTTGACTCCATCTCATGGTCTTTTGACGCCCTTCAAGGCCTTCTGAAGGCCCTTTGACCCCAGCTGAGGGCCCTTTTGAGGTCTTCGGAGGGTCATTTGACGCTAGCTTAGGGCCCTCTGACGCCAGTTGAGGGCGCTCTGACACCAATTGGGGGCCTTCTGACGCCAGCCAAGGACCCTTTGACGCCTTTGGAGGCGTTTGACGCCGGCGGAGGGCCCTCTGACGCCCTTCAAGGACTTCTGAGGCCGTTTGATGTCGGCTGAGTGCCCTTTGATGACATTTGAGGGCCTTTGATGACATCTGAGGGCCCTTTAAGGCCTTCTGAGGGCCCTTTGACGCCAGTTGAAGGTCCTTTGGGGCCTTTTGAAAGTTGTTGAAATTTGACATCTATTACCTTCCCCTTGACTGCGCTGGACATTGTATGACCTCATTTGGGCCTGCTGGGGTCCGAGATGGGCCCTCCTGGTCTTATTAATCGTCATTTCAGCTCATTTTAGACAGTCTTCGGTGGTATTAAGATTAGGGGCCAATTTGAGGGCCATTTGAGATGGTCCCCCTTTCGAATGGGGGGTGGGGGCATGGGTCCGTGTGCCCCAATTGTGTGCGCCTTTGTCTCTCAATTTCGGTAAAATGCTTTGTTGGTATATTTCGAAATTCAGATTAAGAGTGATCACCATTTTGTGTTCCTCCGATTTAGTTTGAACACAGTCTGATGTTGCAAATGGGATTGCAGTTCATTTATATTAACCCAAGGCCCTCTAACCGGCGCACCGATAAACGGATGTCAAGGCTTCTACTTGTAGGTACAAAAAACTTTTGAAATAAAATGAATATTTTTTCATGTACAATTTTAATTGTATGAACACTTAACACCCAAATGTTAGAGTAAAATGGTACAAAGTTGGGTATTAGGTACGAAATGACATTAAATTCGTTTGCACGAATATCAATCAATTGAATTTATAACAAAATTGCATTTTACTTTTTTATTCCAACTTTATAGAATCGGGGTGCCCTTTTTATGCTCGGCGGCTGGTGACACCCACTTTTGCTGGAATCACCTTTTTTATTGGGCGCCTTTCTACTGCTGGGGTCGCCTCTCTCTTGCTGAGGTCACCCCTCTTCTGCTCGGCGGGACTTACTTCTGATGGGCGCTCCTCCTCTGCTGGGGTCTCACTTTTCTGCTGGAAGTGCTGGAGTCTGACAATTTCCTCCCCGGTTATGCCCTATTTTTGCTAGAGGCGTCCCTCTTCTGCCGGGCGAGCCCAACTTCTGCTTAAGTCGCTCGACCTTTTCTACTGAGTGCGCCCTTCTTGTGCTCGGCGAGCCCAACTGCCGCTTGACGTGTCCCATTTTTATTGGATGCGCCCCCTTCTGCGGGCGGCGCCCCTCTTTTGCGTGGCTGTCCCTCTTCTGCTGGAGGCGCCCGTCTTCTGGCGGCGGCGCCCCTCTTCTGGTGGAACCGCCCCTCTTCTGTGGGTGCGCACTGTTCTGCTAGAGCGCCCTCTTCTGCTCAGTCAGCTCAACTTCTGCTGAAGGTGCTCGGCTATGTCTGTTGGGGACATTGCGCTTTTGCTGGGGAGCCCCTGTTCTGCTGGGGATGCCCCACTTCCGCCGGAGCCGCTGGGGACCTGGGGGCGCCCCCGGCCCCACTGCTGCTGGACGAACCCAACTTTTGCTCCAGGTGCCCCTTTTGTATTGGGGCGCATCTCTTCTTTAGGCATCCCTCTCCTGGTAGGGCGCCCCTTTCTGGTGTGGCGCCCCTTTCTACTGGGGGCTCCCTTATGCTCGGGGTACTCCTCTTATGCTGGGGGCGCCCCACTACTGCTGGACGAGCCCAACTTTTGCTTGAGGTGCTCCATTTATATTGGAGTGCCTCTCTTCTTCTGGAAACATCCCTCTTCTGGTGGGGCGCCTCCTTTCTACTGGGGAGCCATCCTTGTGCTGAGGGCGCTTCTTTTCTGCTGGAGGCATCTCTCTTCTGGTGGGGCGCCCCCTTTCTGCGGGGTGCCCTTCTTCTGTTGGGGCGCCCTTCTTCTGGTGAGGCGCCCCTTTCTGCTGGGGTCGCCCGTGTTCTACTGAGGGCGCTCTTCTACTGGGCGAACCCAAGTTCTGCTTGAGGTGCATCATTTCTATTGGGGGCGCCTATCCTCCGCTGGGGTGCCAGTCTTCTGCTTGACGATCCCAACCTACGTTGGAGGTGCCCCACTTCTGCCTCGGGCGCTCCACTTTTGCTGAGAAAGTCCGGTTCTTGCCGGGGTGCCCCTTTCACCCATTTTTGGGGGACGATACGACTGGACGCTTCCCAAGCCCGCAAGCAGCACGACGCCGGTCACGAGGAGAAGGAGAAGGAGGAGAAGGCCAATGCGTTCGCCGCCCAGTACGCCCACGTCTCCCGCCAGGTGAGGGCGCCGAAGATCGACCGAGCTGCGCGACGACGACTGTCGGATCTCAAACCGCGTCGCTGCGCCGACTGTGACGGCGACCACACCGGGTGCTGCTCGCCATTCTCCGAGGAAGAGCTGATCAGAGAGGTCCAACTTCTCCAACTGAAGAAATCACCAGGACCAGACGGGATCACCAACGAGATGATCAAGCATCTCGGTCCGGTGGCGCGCAGTGCCCTCCTCCGCGTGATTAACCTCTCGTGGAGAGTCGGGGAGGTCCCCCGGGAGTGGCGCACGGCCACCGTGGTCCCGATCCCCAAGGCCTCTAAGGACAAGCGTCTGCTGACGAGTTACCGCCCGATCGCGCTTACAAGCAGCGTATCCAAGCTCGCCGAGCGACTGATACTAGCTCGGCTTGCGTTCGTGGCGGAGAGTCGCGGCCTCGTCCCTGATGAACAGGTGGGCTTCAGAGCCAAGCGGTCTGCAGAAGACAGCATTGGCCGGCTCGTCCAGAACGTCCAAGACGGATGGCAGCGGCCCAAGTATGACAGGCGTGCTGAACGACCGGACGGCAGCACAGCCCAGAAGTACCTTCTCACCGCGTACGACTTCAGCCGAGCGTACGACGTGGTGGACCACAAACTACTGAAGCTGCGCCTCCTCGAGCTGGGCCTCCCTCTGTGCCTGGTTCGCTGGGTGTGGAGCTGGCTACGAGACCGTCGTGTGCGGGTTGAGGTGCAGGGTGCGCTCTCCAAGGAGCGGATCTTCCGCGCGGGCCTCCCTCAGGGAAGCGTCCTGTCCCCCCAGTTGTTTTTGTTATGGGCGGCAGGACTAGCCGAGGCTCTCCGCGCACCTGGCATCTCACCGTACATATACGCTGACGATACTGCTGTGCTCAGCTCCGGAAACACTCTGGAGACGGCGATACAACGCGCCCAGACAGCGGCGGACGTTCTGGCCGCCTGGGCTCACCGAAACAAGATGCTGGTGGCCGGAGAGAAAACCCAGCTGCTAGTGCTGTCGCAGAACGCCAAGGACGCCGTCGGGTGCACCATCAAGGTGTCAGGGAAGACGGTGCGGGCGGGCGACTCACTGGTGCTCCTGGGCATCGAGATCGACCGCCGACTCCAGTTCGGAGCACACTGCCGCCGTCTAAGAAGACGGGTCCGCCCCCGCGTCGCTCACCTGAGACGCCTAGCCGGTCGTAGCTGGGGGCTGGACGAACAGGCTCTGCGAACAGTCGCAAACGGATATGTCCGGGGGGCTCTGGAGCACGCTGCCGCTGCATGGCTGCCAGCGGCTGCGCCATCTCACGCCGAGCTCATTGAGTGCGAGATGAGGGCGGCCGCGCGGATCGTCACTGGATGCCCCCGCTCCACGCCGACACACGCGGTGATGGCGGAGGCGGGGCTGGCCCCTATGGAAGAAAGGAAGAAGGTCCTCGCCGCTCGGCTACTGGGCCGTGCCCTGGCGCTACCGCCGACCGACCCCCTGCGCAGGACAGCTGAGGCCACGGCGCCCTCGCGGCTGTCTTCTGTGAGGGGGTGGCGAACGCTGGGCCGCCAGATGCTGGCTGAGGTGGAGGTCACCGCACCAATCGAACCGGTGCTGCCTCCTCGCATCCCGCCGTGGGAGCGCGGAGGAAACGTCACATTCTGCCTGGACGTGGGGCCGCTACGAACCGGTGCGACAGAGGGAGAGAAGATACGGGCTGCCACCCGTCATCTTGCCGCTCTGCCACAGAGAGCAACCTGGTTGTGGACAGACGGCTCCGTGGAGGGTGGCGTCAAGGACGGAGGCTCTGGAGCTGTGGTCACCTGGTCGGACGGGGAGGAGGAGGACCTGAAGACACCGGCCGGTCGACACTGCTCCAGCTACCGAGCAGAGATGCTCGCCCTGGCGTCCGGGCTTGAGCACCTGCTCGACAACCCACGAGACCGTGACATCCCCATCGTGATCTGCACGGACAGTATGGCCTCCCTGGCTACCCTCCGGGCGGGGCCAACCGCGCAGACGTCACCGCTAGGCGTCAGGATCTGGCGGGCGTTTTCGCGTCTGTCCCGGGAGGGTCACCGCCCGATTCACGCCCAGTGGGTGCCTTCCCACTGCGGGATCGAAGGCAACGAGCGGGCAGACGCCATAGCAAAGGAAGCGGCGGAGTTACCACAGGAGGACATCCCCGTCGACACCAGGACCATCTGCCGAGCAGTAGCCAGAGCCGCCAGAGAGGCTACCATCAAGAACTGGCCAGCCGGGTGGTTCCGGTCCGTGATGGGCGACCGCCTACCGCCCCGAGTTACCGGCCTGGAGCGGTCCAGCGCGGTGGATGTCCACCAGCTGAGGGCCGGGCACTGGTCTGGTGCCCGGTCCTACCTGCACAGAATCGGACGCTCCCCGTCTCCGATCCCAGGCGGATGCCAGGGGTGCAACAGAGACGAATGTCGAGAGTCCTGGTGCCCCCTGTGCCGAGAGGAGCCGGACAAGCCGGACCATGTCCTCCTCCGCTGCCCCGCCCTGATGGGAACGAGAACAAGAACATGTTATACCATCCACCCGGAACCGGAGGAGGTCCGGGAGACCGCCGTGGTGGCGGCCCTGGCGGCGGCCGCCAGAGGCGCCCAGAGCCGACAGGCTACACTTCACTGAAGTGAAGTGGAGGGAAGAACAACAACAACAACAACAACAACAGACGGAATGTAGCCGAGAAATTACCCTCGCCATCTGCTAAAGAGCGTAGCGGTGTCGGGCGGCGTGTGGGGCGCCGCTTAGCCTATGGGGGTGCACTTTGACGTGATGGGGGTGCACTTTCAGGGGATGGGGGTGCACCTGCACCCCCATACATATAGAAAGTTACACCGCTGATGTGAAATGCCTATGCAATTATCCATCATACCTATTTGGCTATAATGTTTGTTTGGCCTTTGTCATCGATAAAGTGTTATTGCTGCCTGTTCCCAGACTTTCACAACTGTACAGTTATTTATTTTTGCGAAAGTGAATGAAACGTACAGCCCACCGCTAAAGTAATGTAGGGTTTTACCAATCTCAACGGTTGGCTTTGACTGGCGATTGTTTAATGCGGAGTGATCGAAAAGAAGATGTCAATAGCTTAAGTTGCAGCTGCAAGGCTGACGATACATATAAGCTACATTCAAAGTTTCATTGTAATCTGGTTAATCGTTCCTAAGCTTCAGAAGCAGAACATACCCATGACTGAAACCCCACACTACTTCTGCTGTGGACTGTACATATCGCTAACTTGAGCTCTCTCTCTTACTTGCCTTCCAACCCCACAACCAACATCTCCAATGACGTTTTCCCCCGTGTTTTTCTCTCCCGCTGTCAGGGAGCGCGCGCTGCTGGGCTACGCCACCTCCCTCCGGCCGGAGCGGTTCAAGGCCGTGCTGTCCATGCTGTACCTCCTTCTGGTCACCTGGATCACCTCCTTCGTCATGGTCATCGTGCACGATCGGGTGCCCGACATGAAGCGCTACCCCCCGCTGCCGGACATCTTCCTAGGTGAGGTGCCCCACGGGATTTTGCTTGTCTCGCATAAAAGGCATTGCCGCTTGGCGCTTAATTTACAGATACGATAGGAGTGGTTGTTAGATGCTTTGTCAATGCCGTTCATTTTTTACCCGAGTTCACGGTTTGTGTTACCGGGAAACATAGCAGTGGTTAGTACCGTGGTAGTTGAATAAAACTACAACATATTAGCTAAAAAAAAAAAACATTATTTCCTGGCGTGATGCATGACACCTGAAGCTTTCATCAGTGCTTTATAACATTTGTAGACCCTGCAATCAAAACTTTTTCTCCTGCTCGCTAGCCGCTCCGCGCAGGTATTGTTTTGGCCACATGTGTGCCAGATGTCTTGTTTGTGTGTAGCAGCTGTGGGCCGCGCAAACAGCCGCTGCTGTGGCGGACAGGTGGTAGTAGATGCACATGACCTTGGCACAGAGTGTTAGATGCCTTGGGTGTATTTGCTTCACTTTTTACGTCTGTCCCGTTCTGATAAGCCTCTGCTCGTTTGGACATATTTTTTCTTTATTCTTTTTCTTATTTTTCCTTTATCTCAAACTCATCTTTCGAAAGGAGTATTTTCGTTCAGTTTTCTCGATCCCTTTCCTATATTTTGCACATCCCATGGATACCTAGGCCCTTTTTGTTCGTGCGTTTCTCGATACTATCCACACTCTAATAAGCTACATATTGCAGCTATTTTTTCACATTTTCATGTTCAATGCTCGGCTCTTTGCGACGAGCGCGGACGTTGCTCTTTTAATTGCGTTAACCCGCGCCCCGCTGGGGGGGGCAGAATCTGCCCCCCCCCCTCTCGTTTTTCGCCAATAACTTCTAAACGCGTTACGCCAACGACGTCAAACTTTCAGTACCTTATCATACATCAATTTGACGTTCCCTGAAAATTTGAGCGAAATCCGTCGGATTTTTTTTTTTTTTTAGAAATTGACGTTTTAGTGACGTCATGCTCGCCATTTTCGCCTCAAAAACGGCAAAATTTCAAACGCCGCTAACATCTTCATTTTTAAAGGAAACAAGACGTAACAAAAAGGGTTATACGTAATTCTACTCTGTCTATCAAATGGCTATCTCGGTTTTTTGAAAATTTTGGATTTTGGCCCAATTTTTTTTTTCAAAAAAATATATGTCAGAAAAGTGGTCAATGTGCACCTACATACCAATTTTTAGAAGAATCGGTTCAAAAATGTGGGAGTTATTCAAAATTTTATAACGTCACGACACACAAAATTTTTGAAAAAAAAAATGATTTTTTTTTTGAAGTTCTAGACCTCGTACGGAAACGAAAATAGCACCATTCGATTCGTCGTGAAAAACTGCATCAGATAGACACCTTTTTAGGCATTAACAACCAACTTCAAATTTGACCTCACTTGACCTGACCTTGACCTGACCTCGACCTGAAATTCATCCAGAGGTGGTCCATATCACTTATTGAGTGTGCTTATTGAATTCTATGAGTAAAATGACCCATAACCCGCGGGGGGCTGGGGGGTAAATTTTACCCCCCCCCCCCCCTCGCGAATTTTTGCAATATCTCAAAAACGGCGGCGCGCAGCGCCGCAAAACTTTCAGTACCTTTTCTTACATCACTTTGACACGTTCCCTGAAAATTTGAGTGAAATCATCCGTCAGAAATTTTTTGAGAAAATGACGTTTTAGTGCCGTCATGTTCGCCTCAAAAACGGCAAAATTTCAAACGCCGCTAACATCTTCATTTTTAAGGGAATCAAGACGTAACAAAAAAAGGTTATACGTTATTCTACTCTGTCTATCAAATGGCTATCTCGGTTTTTTGAAAATTTTGGATTTTGGCCCAAATTAAAAAAAAAAACTGACTTTTTGGGGAAAATAATTATAAAATCCAAAATTTTGGGTGTATCGAAAAAAAACCGGAATATATGTCAGAGAAGTGGTCTATGTGCACCTACATACCAATTTTTAGAAGAATCGGTTCAAAAATGTGGGAGTTATTCAAAATTTCATGACGTCACGACACACAAACATTTTGAAAAATGATTTTTTGGAAGTTCTAGACCTCGTACGGAAACAAAAATAGCACCATTCGATTCGCCGTGAAAAACTGCATCAGATAAACACCTTTTTAGGCCTTAACAACCAACTTCTAAATTTGACCTCACTTGACCTGACCTTGACCTGACCTCGACCTGAAATTCATCCAGAGGTGGTCCATATCACTTATTGAGTGTGCCTTTTGAATTCTATGAGTAAAATGACCCATAAAACATGTGTCGCACACGCCCTTTTCTATATTTTGTTTTTTGGTGACCTGACCTGACTTTGACCTTGACCTCTGAATGATATTGTATGCAACGAATATTGTTTTGGTAGCCTAAAAACACATTTTGGGCAATCAGTCTCAGTCCATGACTCCATTCTTCGGCAACTACGGTGCAAGGCCGATACTGTAGAAACTTGCAATTTGTACCCTTGACCTGACCTTGACCTTGACCTCAAACTTTAAATTAAGTACATGTTTTTGGTTGTTCGTGATGAGAGCTTTGGATTGGCGTTTGAATTTTCCAAATCGGACCATTAGTTCGAGAGATAACAGGGGGGGGGGGGGTAAAATTTGCCCCCCCCCCCAGCCCCGCGCGTTCGGCTGGAGACCCCAGCCCCGCGCGGGATAAAACATGTGTCGCACATGCCCTTTTCTATATTTTGTTTTTGGTGACCTGACCTGACCTGACCTGACCTGACCTTGACCTTGATCTTGAATGACATTGTATGCAACGAATATTGTCTTGGTAGTCTATGTAAGAACATGTTTTGGGCATTCAGTCTCAGTCCATTCTTCGGCAACTACGGCGTAAGGCCGATACTGTAGAAACTTGCATTTTGTACCCTTGACCTGACCTTGACCTGACCTCTGACCTACTTAAGCAAAAAAAAAAAAAATTGGGCTCTTAAGATCCACCTTGTTGAGAGCTTTCGATTGCCGTTTTCCCCGTCTTTCTACGACCATCGGTTCGGAAGTTAGACAGGGGGGGGGGCAGAATCTGCCCCCCCCCCAGCAGGGCGCGTATGGCTGAATAGCCCAGCGGGGCGCGGGTTAATTTCTGATCGTTTTCCTATAAGTAGTTGTTTCTGTTTGTTGTTTGTCAGTGTTGATTTCGGTTTATTTCTCATATGTGTTAATTTGCTGTTTTTCTCGGCAGACAACATTCCGCACATTCCGTAGGCGTTCATACCGTGTTCGTTTCTATTTATCCTTCATACTAATTGTTTATTTGTTTGTTGTTGCAGACAACATTCCGCATATTCCGTGGGCGTTCATACCGTGTTTGGTTGTGTCTGTCTCTCAGGCCGTGTTTGTTTATTTGTTTGTTGTTGCAGACAACATTCCACACATTCCGTAGGCGTTCATACCGTGTTCGTTTCTATTTGTCCCTCATACTAATTGTTTATTTGTTTGTTGTTGCAGACAACATTCCGCACATTCCGTGGGCGTTCAGTATCTGTGAACTGATCGGTACAACTCTGCTGGTCATCTGGATATCCGTCCTGCTCGTGCACAAACATAGGTAAGAACATAGGTGAGAACACAGGTAAGAATATAGGTGAGAACATAGGTGAGAACACAGGTAAGAGACATAGGTGAGAACATGGGTGAGAAACATAGGTATTTGCAAATTGCATAGAAATGGGCGAGTGAGATCCGTCGTTCAGATACATCCGTCACATACATATGATGTACATCCGTTACAAATACGTCCGCTGTATGCGTATTCAATGCTGGAAATAAGCCCCTTTGCTGATCCCGTCGGGTCCAAAAGATGTTGTTTTTCATTGCGAATTTAAGGCTTTTTACTGTGCGTATAGCAAACATATCTGGCGTCTGTCCTGAATGTTTATACCTAATGATCCTTTTTCTGCTCCACGTGTAAATATCGATCGATCGTTTTTCCGTATGTTTATATTATAGTTCCTTCGTCACTGTGCCGCAGGGTTATGTTGATATGCCGCTTCCTGGACGTTATCTCTATGTTATAGGTTTATATATTCTTCTGCTTCTGTTAGAGATTCATATTTTATTTGTTGTTTCAACTCGCTCTGCGCTACCGTGTACGCTCTTCCGCAAAATGATAGGTTTTCATTGCTCTGTCTTTTATGACGGCCTGTCTTTGCATTACAGGCTCATATTGATCCGTTTTTTCTGTATTATATATTAATTGATATGTTGTTTCTGTGGTCCTTGTGTTACAGGTTTATATTGATTCGTCGTTTCAACTCGCTCTGCGGTGCTACTGCGCTGTGTGACAGGTTTATATTGATCCGTTGTCTCTATTCCACAGGTTTATATTGATACGTCGTCTCTAATTCACAGGTTTATATTGATTCGTCGTTTCAACTCGCTCTGCGGTACCGTGTACCTGCTGCGCTGCGTGACGATGCTGATCACTTCGCTGTCCGTGCCGGGAGCCCACCTCTCCTGCGCGCCAAGGGTGAGAAAACGGGGATAAAGATAGAGAGAGGGAGAGAGAGAGAGAGGGGGAGAGGCCGGGCTGCCGGTGCCCCATTCGCTCATTTCTGACGCGATCCTAGGTAAGGTAAATCGATGCCCTCTACTCAGTGCCAACTACTACATTGATATAGAATGAGGGTCAGGCGTAGTGTTTTTATTCGATTTCGAACCCTCGACTGTCGCCTTACTATATAGGAGACGGACGACTTAGCCGCTAAGCAATATAGAGTACCTACGATTGTTAGTTTATTTTTCCGGCGTTAAAGCTCTATCTGTCACTTTCTACCTCATGACTGGAAGTGTGTTTCTTATATCTAATATAAGTACACCCTCTGACATGCCTCTGTCCTTGTCAAGAGTATGGCGACATGTACGCCAAGCTGTATCAGTACACTCTCTGACATACCTCTGTCCTCGGACAGGAGTACGGCGACATATACGCCAAGCTGTACCAGTACACTGTCTGACATACCTACATATGTCCTGTGACAGGAATATGGCGACATATACGCCAAACTGTACCAGTACACTCTCTGACATACCTCTGTCTCCGGCAGGAGTACGGCGACATATACGCCAAGCTGTATCAGTACACTCTCTGACATACCTCTGTCTCCGGACAGGAATACGGCGACATATACGCCAAGCTGTACCAGGCGTACAGCATCTGGCATAATGCCGGTCTCAGCATCCAGGGGGTCCGCTCCTGTGGTGACTACATGTTCTCGGGACATACTGTGGCGCTGACCATGCTCAACTTCTTCATCACTGAGTGTGAGTTCAGAGTTACTATGATGAGTTATCACAGAGTGTGGGGAGCGAGAGGAAGAGTTGGAGGTTTGGGGGTGGAATTCGTTGCTCATGGATGCATGTTTGTGGATTTTATAAATTTTGGGGAATTGATATCGCTGAGTGTAAGTCAATTCTGTTTTTGAATTAGCTGTCAATTATAGTGGATCAGTTAACTGAGGTTTTGGAATTACGTTTAAGTCAAGTAGTTTTGCTGCCCTTATTTTTTTGCATTCGTACTTAGATGTTAATTTTCGTGTTAAGTCGTCCTCACCTGAAGTATCTAGCCCTTCCTAATTTTTTTTTAATTGCATGTTCTTATATCAATGGAGTTACTTTTCGGTCGCACTCGTATCCTAACCCGCTGCCCCCATTGTCTCCCCATTTTTCAGACACACCCCGCCGCATCTACTTCCTCCACACGTTCACTTGGCTTCTGAACGTGTTCGGTGTATTCTTCATCCTCTCTGCTCACGAACACTACTCGATCGATGTGTTCATCGCCTTCTACATCACGTCCCGGCTCTTCATGTACTACCACACACTGGCCAACAATCAGGTGGTGAGTACTGAGTGCGCTGTACAGATGTGTGGTTATCGAGAGGTTGGGGGTTCGATTCTTGGGGTGGGGATAATTTTGGAGGTAGCTGTAATGAAGTGATGTCATTAAGTGTGATGCGATTAGTTTTTTATGTCTTGATTGTCAGGTTGCACCTTTTTTGTTCTCTGTATTTTATGAGTGTCGTGTAAATAGTACCCACTACCATCGTCGCTGTTACTGAGGAAAAAAGTGTTCATTCAGTAGCAGTGTTAGCTCCGTATTTTTTCATCTTAATTTACTGGGTATCTTCCGCCGCGGTTTCGGAGTTTCAGTATCTTACACGCTCGATGTTGGTCTCGGTGAGGCGGGTCGCCCTCCCGCTGCGAGTAATCGTTGCGCCGCCCCACTGCCCTACTTTTCGCGGTTTTTTACTATTGTCTGTGAACGCTGCTAAGTCGCCTGTTTCTCTGTGGTACACTGTGTTGGCTGTGTGTCAGTGTCCCGCCGCGTTAGCTCTCTGTCTCGGTGTTTGTGTGTCCGTGTGTGCGGCGGCGCGTGCGACGCGTGTCGGCTCCTTTCAGGAGTGCTGCCGGTGGCGCCGCTCTCTGAGTAGGGACTTCTCCCCGGGAGAGCCCGGGCCGCGGCTCCTCTGGGTGAGACTGTGTGAGCTGCCCCCCCCCCCCCATACTACTGCAGCAGCCATCCTCTGCCATACAGAGGCCTTAATATCGCCCCGAGTCTGAGCGTAGCCACAGTTGTGAGATTTGGCGTCCGGTTCACGCCTGAGTTTGTCTTGCTCACATAATTACTGATTGGAGATTGCTTTGATCCCCGTGCCGTTTCGGACATAATTTATTGCCCTTTTTTCCCCATTTGCGGTTATGAAGTGTTTCATAGTTTGGTTTGCCTGAGAGTACCATTGCAGTGTGGTTTGATGGCGATGTCCTCACATGGGCCGGTCACCGCCCGTGCCTTTTCCCACGACTGCAGGTTTGCACCCTTGATCACGCTCTGCTTATTTGGGTGATTAAGACTTAGTAGGTACTACGCATTTATTTAGAAATGATTCCCGAAATTATTGTCCCGAAGCTCAAAATGGTTTTTGTAAGCATCTCTTTCGTTCGCATCGTCTCTTTTCTGACACACGTTTCTCAACCTCCCTTTCGTGCAAGTCTTTCTGTAGATTCTTCGAATTAAAGTGGGTTTTCATCCGTTATTCCCGATTACGAGACGCCCTTTATTTTCACGCATGAGTCTTTTTGTGCCAAGCCTATCGCTTATTCTACCCCTTTCTTCACTTCTGCAGCCTCCCAACTGCCAACCCATCCCACCCCCAAAAAAATATAAGTAAATTTTCTGATATAATCTGTATATCTGACCTCTCGTCGTATTTCCTTTTTTCACAGAAACGCAAGCGCGCCGACGAGAAGCGCACGCGCATCTGGTTTCCGATGTTCAGCTATTTCGAGGCCAACGTCCACGGCACGGTGCCCAACGAATTCGAGTGGCCCGTGACTCGAGAGTGGCTCGCTTCGATGGCGTCAGCTGCCATGGAGAAGGCCAGGCATCTGGGGGTGCTGGGAGGGGGAGGGAAGTTGAGCGTGGGGGGAGGGAGGGAGATGAACGGGGGAGGGGTGAGGAATGGTGTGAGGAAGCACAGACATAGGCGCTAAGAAATGAGAGAAAGGATGATGGGGGACTTGTGAGGGATGTAAGTTGATGAGATATGTGTGATGAGGTGAATCACGTGATTATGTGAGGCATGAAATGTGATGAGACAAGATATGTGTGATGTGATGTCAAGTGAAGTTATGTGTGATAATGTGATGTGAGGTGATATGTCATGTGATGTGACGTGATATGTGTGATGTGATGTGATGACGGTGATGAAATCGCTTGGCGAATGTGTGATGTGATGTGTTGTGTTGTGTGTGAGGCATTACTCTGTGGGTTGTATGTGTTACTTGGCTCACTATAATAATTTATATGAGTGAGTCAAGTGACTCCTATCAACTCCCCTCAGCTGATTCATTGAGTCAGTCGTGTGAATGAACACCTCTAAGGTGACGTAAGACGAACGATGACGTATATTGACTTAGATGACGTAATCAATGACGTCATATTTGGTGTAATTGAAGCGGAGGATTGTGATCCCAATGCTTACAATCAATATCCGGATTGTGCTGATTATCCTATAAATTTACACTGATTATAGGGGTTGTAGCGTGTATCGAAGATGATATTGAACGCACATGAGCTGTAGATTGCTTATGAAGGAGGATTGCTTGAGAAAATGAGGTAACGCGCAAAGTAAAGCAGGTGTTGAGCAACTTGGAAATTTACATATGAAATGCTTCTGATAAAGTTTGGTTGGTTTGGAAAAATTACTTGCATGTTTTTTTTTCTGTAAAATAACATCGAAAGCATCATTAAACTGCATATCTTGTGTCGTAAGAGATGAAACAGCTGTAGTTACGTACCATTTTTCTTTGTCGCGTTCGTGGTCAAAATTTTCTTCATACTATAAAATTCGTTGCTACTGTCTTTCTGCAATCATGAGTTGAGTTCGTCCCTGTCCGTTCCTATCGTCAATCTGTATAAGGCATCGTGAATAATTTAACAGCATGGGCGCCTATTTCTGCTAAGTTCTGATACGGATTTGTATGTATTTATCGCATATTTGCACTCAATCTTATGCTTTGATGTTGCACTAATGCACACACGATGCTACACATAAATACTTCTGCTCTGTGATTTCTTTTGTTGCAATCCTGTCGCATTATGTGGAAGTGAAGGCAATTTGTAGTTGATGAAAATGCCAATCAGATGATCTTACGATTGGCCTTTGTAGCAATCATGGACACAACGCACATGTATGGATTGATATGAAACTACCCATGATTGTCTCGATCTCGCATCAAGATTGAAACGAATGTGCTCGCAAAGCTGGCGCCTGGAGCGTGCGCGTCTATGTATGTGTTAGTTGGGTTAGAATTGGGTGTCTGTGTGAATATCCATCCACAACTCAGCCTTTGGTGATATATGTAAACGCGTCTATCAAATGCATCCGCTCAACAATTCTTCCTACTGCGTATTGCCGATACTGTGAGACAGTGAAAATCACGCACGTGCTTTAGTTAGCGGGAGATTATCGGAGTAGTGAGATTCTAGTCGATAGCTCTGTACGGTGATTAGCTTGGTCTCCTGATTGTTACGTTAGGGGCATTTGTTTAGTTTGGGTTAGAAGTGGCTTTATAACAATATGTTTAAGTGCATAAATCACTGAGACAAGTTGGCGAGAGAGTGATTTGTTCATCTGAGACAGAAGGCTGATTCAGCTTCTAATGATCGTTGTACTCGATTCAATCAACTGTATGGCATTATATTAGGGTAGCTAGAAGTGGGGGGTAGGTGTTCGCCGGTCTTTGTTTAAGCTTGTCACGTCATATGTTCCTATTACCACACAACCTTTGTGTTTGTATTGGTATGCTCCTTCGGTTGCTATACCGCAAATATCCTGTGCTTCCGGTGTCATTTCAGTATTGTCACTCAAATCATTTGATGGCCCATATTTATTGCATTGACTAGCGACCGCTCAGCTTAATATAGGCATTGTCAGTAAGTTACTTTATCAGGTATCCTTAATACGGTTAAAATCGCATGCAACCTTCGCATGAATCAAGTCGCCGTTTTATTTCTACGCCATCGTTCTCCGTCACTGGCCTCTGCCCCGTTTTCCAATGCACTCAGCTTAAGGCCGCCCCACACTGGACCTCGCATGCGGGTTGCGAGTTTTTGGGTTTTCGGGTTTCTTCAAAATCAAATAATATAATCTAAGCTGAGTGACCCACACTACCATTTAACAAGCGAGTCTGCATGTTTTTAGCTTGCGAGCGACATTGCATCGCATTCCAAAAGTTGATTTTGAGTCAACTTTCGATTTTCCTCGCTGCGAGTTCTGTGAGTTCTGCTAGGTTTGCGAGTTTTTCGTTGGAGTCGAATTTTGGTTCGTTGTGCTGGTACTGCGACTATATGTTATTTTCTGCAGGTGTGCCGGCTTCACTGTATTCATGAAGTTATCATAAGTGAACGGTCTAATCACTCTATGAATTAGTATTATGCCCGCAAACTCGCAACCCGCATGCGAGGTCCAGTGTGGGGCGGCCTTTATTCATTTCACATACCCCGCTTGCCACCCGCCGAATTCAGTGTGTCTCAGTGCCCTGTATGTACCTGTCCAAACCAATGATATTGTCCAGTAGCTTCAGCGCACGACCCAACCGAGCTTTGTGTTCCGTTTGTCCGTTTGTGAGAAGTTTTTGTTGTGAAAACGCGGACAGTTGTGTTCATACTCTGTGTCTCATACAGCAGCTGTATACAAGAAAGCGGCCTCCGTTCGAATTATTCACCACCGCTTTCGTCATTTTAGCACCCGTTACCAAAATATGACACTGCTTGTATGTATCAATCACATGGGAATGCTCGTCTGGCTCCCTCGCTGTTACGATACGCTGAAACCGTGACTCAATATCGACGCGAACTGTATTTACTGTTCATGTGGTGCTACCAACGCTCAATGCTTCACAATCGGCTCAGCTCAGGTGGTGGTCGGACGTGGTGCGTTTAATACAGGCATTTCCTATGGATTGGTCTTTGTAAAAGGGCCAGGTATATTGGTCTTTGTAAAGGGGCTAGGTATGGAGTGTGCGGTGTTAGCGATTTATAATCGAAAAGGAAAGCACGAAACATGCAAGATGTTCGGCACTTAAGTGGTAATTATGTTCGACCGTATGCCGTTCCATACCCCACCGTTCTGTTGTTTCCATCCTCAGGACAGTAAAATCCTTCTCCACGTCTCGTACCCCCTGATCCGGTCTTAACGTCAAACGGTCGGCTTCATTCAAAGCAACTCCTTAGACCTCAGGAGCAGGCTCTCGTGCAATGGGCAGGCTCATCCCAATACTGTGCGCCGTGTAGTGTGTGGTTGCTGAGATAAAGCCCCTAAAAAGCGTCACAGGCCGAGCCGGACAGCTCATACTAATATTTTTCCGAAAAGACGCGCCTCGCACTTGCAGCTCAGTAGAGCTTTTAAAGACCGTGACTCAGCGGCAAAACACATCATTCCTTCGAAACTTTAAATAAATTTGGTCTATGAAGAGAAACATTCGAGCAAGCGGGTTGTACCTGTACAGTGGTATTTACATTCAATTTGTCACCATCACAGTCACAAACAAGACAAACCAACTATCAAAACCACGTCATACAGCATACAACCACTTTGGACTATCATGGGTATGCAGCTTGACATCTAGTAAGAAACTTCACGCATTTAGCAGACATTTTACCTGCGAACGCGGTAACTGGTAAACAGCTGAGGTAGTTCGTATGATAAGGCCTCAAGCATTAGACGAGAAAGGTTGCAGCAGGCAATCGTTTTGAATTTTAATATTGCATTCAAAAATTGTGACAACTGACACACAAGCAGTAGACGGGCAAAGGCCGCTTCATTCAAAGGATAATGTGTCGAAAATTGAGAATTGCTAAAAGTTGGGATGAGAAAGCTATGGGTAACACGCATCTAAAGACGAAATGTCACAAATATGTGAATTCATTGGTTCTGCGTGACTAGCCTAAGAACACTGTTTGCATTGATAATAACCATTTACCGTAACAATTGCACTATCACCTTAACTAACGGGAAAAAAAATGTATAAGACGCGCTCTACAAAATCGCTAAAAAGGAGTGCATGCAATTCACCAACAGACATACAACGCCTTCCGTGTGACGAATTTGGGCACAAGAAGCATTCCATTAAATGATCAGTAACCTACCAATCGGGCTCACAGAAGCATCTCTCAGACAGCACACACAAAACAGTTGTTCTGGCATCAGAGCCGATGGAGACTCCACAATCCTGATGCGCTGCAGGGGAGATAGCAACCGAAACAAATAGCGATGCTGGGTTTCGGCGTATAAATTCGTAGTACACCGTCAGCGCTGGTAAAGACGCACCACTTCTAGAATTTGTATCACTTTGCATTTGGCCAGTAAACTTGATTATTGCAGCGTCAAACTGACTTATATCCCGACAATGTGCAGAAAACGGCAGTCGCTAACGAATGGCGCCGCCGGCGGCCAGTCCCTGAAGTTATAGTTGACCTTTTCGCCCACAGATGGCAGTGCTACCGCGGCAGGAGGCCGCAGTCTGTCAGCCAGGTTTTGATCATCCTGTTTGCGATTGTTCCGCGCGGCGGCACCCATAGCTCACCCTTCTGGGTCTCGTTACGGATCCTGAAAGTGGAGGTGCAATCAGAAATACTGTCAAAGGCAATCTGACATCTTGAACAGGATGGGAGAACGAGGGTTACTGGCGGTGGAGGCAAGCTTTGTTTTGTTGGGTTAGGCCCTTTCGGTCGACAAGACCATTGCAGAGCCGGAAGGATGATAGGAACTAGGGGGAGACATTGGTCTGGGCAGGCACCCTAGTGAGTCGCCGGGGCTGAGCCCGTCCGAAGACAGGCCACCCAGCCCCAAGGCACTCACTGCACCCGGCTACGGGGTGCGCTCCCTCGGGAGCAGCGGTGCCGCTCCAAGGGAGCAGCCCGCATGAGATAAAGTTGCCTGTCCAGCCCGGAGGGGGGTTGCGGCGTGGAAGAGAAGGATTTCAGTTTCCTGAGGATAGAAGCACGGATAGGTGAGGAGGCAAGCAGTCGAGCCTTGAGAGGCATCTACGAACCATGAGGAGTCGAAAGCCAGTGAACAATTTACTCATTTTACAAACAAATGATCTATTCTTGCAATATTCTATTGAAATCCTTTTGGCAAGTATGTGCACCGGTGGGATCGTCTCAATGAGACGAAACATGCCCCCTGGCCAGTGTGCCTGGATGCGCCCCTGCGCCGCCCTGCGGGCGTTGTATGACCTGAGTGAGGTCAGTCGGGCGGCGCGGCCCCGTCCGCTCGCAGGGAGGGGTAGGAACTAGGAGTGGGGCGGTGTGTGGGGTGGTGGCTCTGACTAGGGTTGTGACTCGTAAAGAGTGAATGAAAGTGCGTAGTGATCATTGCGCAATGCGCATCTACACTACGTATCGTGACCATACTTTGCATCAGTGCATCAGTGTAGTGGCAGGAGTGACTATGGCGCGTTAGTGTTATGAATACTACGTGCGGCCTAGTGTGTGACGCGATTTACTATCACGCCTCTTCTCCGTGATCTACCGACTACAGCAGCTTTGCGCTCATCTCCCGGCCTCCTGAACTGCCTGTCCAGGTAAGCTTCCTAAGCGGCCACCATCACTCGTTTCGCACTACCAGAACAGAGGCCTTCTCACGCGCCCTTTCCCAGGGTCCCCAGACTCTCTGGTTCCCCGGACTACCTGACACCCACCTGGCCATGGGGTTGTTCTGTATCCGTTTGTACGCCTCCAGAATCTCCTCTGCAGAGAACCAGCGCGCGTCCTCCAACTCTTCAGTGTCAATGTCCAGCTGGCGGTGAACGAGGGAGGGGAGGGGGCTTAAGCCTAAATCACACTAGTCACTACCTTGGTGAGGGGGCTTGATCGACCCACACTAGTCACTACCTTGTGTGCCGGAGCTTTACCGGAAGTTCTGTGCTTATAGGTTTTATTACTTGACGACGGTTTATAGTTTAGTTTATACGTTTTCTTTCGGAATACCCATGACATATTGTTTGTTTACGTAGCCTTGCCAACTAGTGAGTGGTATGGATATATATATATATATATATTGACAATTGTTGATAAGCGTTTAGGAAGGCCTTTTAATTGAATATTCATTTGCTTTAAATTAAGAATAAAGTTAAAATTGAAAAAATGATATATAGCCCGACGTTTCGCATTTATTGCTTATTCATGGGCAACTGAGATACAGCACAATTTGGTCAACATACACATTAAAAATTCAAATATCATCATTGACAGCACGCTTTTCTATAAACATGTCTTTCACTAAACGATATCGTATCAGTTCGATCGATCGAATGCGTTTCTACGTACACGTCCGTTTATGCAAAGTTCGACCAGCCTAACGTAATCATCCTTTTCTGGAACTGGGAGTTGGACATCGTCCACTAGTCATAATACTTCTTGAAGGGCCCTAATGGCTCCATCATTTGGTACATTTGTAGAGACATGTTTCCAGCTGTGTTCCAATCACTTGGATCCCATAATCTGTCTAGCTTCCTTTTTAAGTTCATTTCAACTTCAGCTGATACTGCCTTCAGTCGATCTCTCAGATGTTCTGGAAGTTGCACATGGTTTCCAATGCGGTTCGACAAGATTACGTTCCTACTTTGCAAAGTCTTGATTGCATCTTCTAGATATGCTTTAGCTGCTGGAGTGAAATGCTGTTTCTTCTATTTCGGCTGTACTGGCGTTGAGGAAGGAAGAACTTTTTCCTCTATGCATCTTTGAAGAAACTATTCGTTCGATCGTTCGGTTTCATTTTTGGCTAACGTAAATTGCTTGTACTTAATTGGCTCCTCCATAACACTTCTTGACATGTTGGATATATATAGATTGACAATTGTTGATAAGCGTTTAGGAAGGCCTTTAAATTAAATATTCATTTGCTTTAAATTAAGAATAAAGTTAAAATTGAAAAAATGATATATAGCCCGACGTTTCGCATTTATTGCTTATTCATGGGCAACTGAGATACAACTTTATTCTTTACTAACTTTATTCTTAACTTTATTCTTAATTTAAAGCAAATGAATATTTAATTTAAAGGCCTTCCTAAACGCTTATCAATAGTGAGTGGTATGTCGGTAGATACCGAAAAGAACCTCCGGCCTTACTTCCCATTCGCTCTCTCTTTTTCTATCTCCCTCCCTCCTTACATCCCTCCCTCCCTCTCTCTCTCTCTCTCTCTCTCTCTCTCTCTCTCTCTCTCTCTCTCCCGCACTCTCTCTCTCTCTCCCTCTCTTCCTTCCTTCCTCCCTCCCTTCCTTTCCCTTCCCTGCCCTTCCCTTCCATCCCATCCCCTCTCCTCCCTCTCCCTCTCCCTCTCTCTCTCTCTCTCTCTCTCTCTCTCTCTCTCTCTCTCTCTCTCTCTCTCTCTCTCCCTCTCCCTCTCCCTCTCCCTCTCTCTCTCCCTCTCTTACCTGCGTCTGCTCGGTCCGTCCGTAGCAGCCCACCATCAGCTGACCGCCGTTGAACGGCCAGTGCTGAGACCCCATGTAGCCGACCTCGTCCAGGTCAATGCCCACCTCCTCGGCCACCTCGCGGCGGATACACGACTCGATTGTTTCACCTGAGGCGTCGGAGAAATGACAGTCATGAAAGTTGCGACAAAACACGAGCGCGTAACAAGGTGCCAATGTTAAGTGAATTCGAACGCCAACCTACAGTTTGCTTTTTCTCTGATCGATAGAATTTCTACATAGGTAAATTGTCACGGTCGTGTTTTCGAGTGGATGCCCGGTGCAAGAGAAACTAAGTAAATCACAATTCACCCTGGGTGGGTATTTTGGTGCAATAGGCCTCCGCCCTCCGGTTCTGGTGGTGAGACCTGGTTCCCGTAATGTTTCCAATCCATCCAATCCAATGCCATGTCCCAAAACACTTGGTTTCAGGTTATTTTTCCACCTGGTTCCCTATGGTTCCTGTTGGTTGTACGGTTCTATCTGGTTCCCTATGGTTCCTGTTGTTCCCATCCCCTTACCTGGCTCGAGGAACCCGGCCACGCAGCTGTACATGCCGGGCAGAACCCCGTTACTCCCCTGGTTCCCTTTCCGTTCCTCACCTGGCTCGAGAAAGCCCGCCACGCAGCTGTACATGCCCGGTGGGTGTCGGCCCTGACGGACTAGCAGTGCGCGCGTCTGAGCAGCGTCCGTGATCATAGTGATACCCACCGGTGACGTCATTGGGTACTGGACGGTATCACACGACGGGCAGCTGGAATTACGTCATTGCATCAGACAGAGGGTATTACGTCAATGGGCAGGCAGGCGATACACGGGCATGACGTCGTTGAAGGAATAGAGGGGATAATTAATACGACCTTTGAGAACGATAACAGTGTAGCAGAGACACATGCAGGTACATATTTCTTATCCCCCATGTGACATAACATGTTTATCCCACGGTCTAACAGTGCGTCAAAAACAGTAGTTACTAGTCCACTGATCTTTAGGAATCTTGAATCTTGAACAGTCTGTAAAATATTTGCACAACACAAACGAGCGGGAAAATATTAATGAAAAAGTTACGAGTAATTTGAGCTCGGGCTTGTCCTTCGATAGGATACGTCCGGCGGCACCAGCACCATTCTCTGGGATTCCCAGCCACCAAGCGTCCCCCATTTTCCACCTACCGGCGGGAGGGGGAGGATGTTCACTGACTTTTTGGCGTGTCCGGCCGGACGGGAGCGCAGCTCGGCTCCGCAGCCCGGACAGAAGTTGGTCGTCTCGCGCCAGTGCAGCATCGAAAACGCCTGAGGGAGATCGGTGCGAGAGAAGGTTACTGCTGGGAAAATAACCATGTGATAAACCCAGGTTATCACCATGTGATAACTTGATCGTGATGAATCTGGTTACTAGTCAATTTGCTATCAGAAAAAAAAACGCTAACCACGTAATAATTTCCGACAGATAATATAAGCACAGAGCATAATACTTATATCAAGCACCGGAAGTAGCCATCGCATGGTGGAGAATTCGCGCGCGACATTGGCTTTCACATACGGCATGTAACAAAAACTGAGCAAAAACATTGTTTACTTAAGTCTGTAATAGACTCGTAACCACTTCAAGCCTTGGTGAACAGCTCCGAGTGATACCTCCGCGGGGCTACTCACGTGTGACATGGTGCAGGCCTCCTCCCACGGCAGCAGAAACAGCGCCGCCCGCGGATCGACAAACTTCCCACCGAGCGCGGCCTGAGCGGCGGCCGCGACACTAGCGCCGCCTGGCAGGTCGGCCGTGAAACACGCCTGGCCGGTGTCGGCCAAATTGAGAAGGATGGAGCGGCTGGCCAGGTCCTCAGATGGGTAGAGACGCTGCAGGTCTGAAATCGGGCAAAAGTGTGGAAGGAATGTAATTATGGCTGTCAGAAATGTCACTGTTGTGCTAACACCATAATTGTTAAATGCTAAAATCAATAGAGAAATGAATCTGTCTTAATTTACTAAATCAAAGGACAAAACCAAAAAGTATTCAACCAAAAATAGCCATCACAGTCAGTAGTCACCACAGTCCTTGCTTGAATAAACATTTACAAAACCAACAAACCAACCAAGTGAACTGGACTGGAGCCATGCCCTTCCCCTTACAATGCAGCCAATCATCATCTTTCCAGTCTCTGTCAGAGCAAGCATGTCATATGCCTGACAAAAGGGAACATGGTAGCAGCCTCACCTGAAAAACTGATCCACCTGAGTGTCTGTGCAGTCTGTCCCATTTCAGGCATAGAAATCAGGGGTTTCTTGGCCACAAATGGCAGCACTCTGCCAGATTCTCGGACTTTGACAATTCTGAAAACAACAATTTATATTATCCACTTGTGTGAATTATGAAAAATTGTATAATATCAAAAGGTATGCATCAAACTGTACAAAATGAAGTCTGAAAAATAACATCTGAAAGCATTCAATAGCTTACTTGTCATCATCCTCCTTCAAGGCCTGCAGAAGTTTGATTCTCTGCACGTAACTCAATGTTGACATGGACCTGTGTCGTAAAAGCACCTGGAAGCTGCTGATTATCCCATATGCTGGTAGGAGAGCCTTGCAAGATATCATGATGATGTCCTTCCTGTTTCAGCATAAAGATGCAAAGTCAGCACTCTGAAAAATGGAACACCATGTCTCAATTAAAAGAGAAAATGCTAAGCAATACTGATACAATAAAAAAACTTCTGACTTGTAAAGAAGGTCCTCAGGATAAATGTCAACCAAAAAACAATACTTTAAAGACCACCGGAAAATTACTGTTGAATCCAAGGCTATGTTGAATCCTTAGTTGAATCATAGTTTCTTCTCCTTTCCACAGCTTTTATTAGGTAGTTCTACTTTGGACTTTTGGAGCGCTTTCAGTTTGGCTGCTGTTGTCACACTGTTGACCAAACGAACAAAGAGACAGAGAGAAACAGGCGGAGAATGAGCGCCAGCAGCAATAAAAATACGGGTGGAAATTAAGGGTTTTTAAAATAACCATATAACTGATGCAAACATTGCAGACCAAAACCAACTGGCTCCGTCTTTCACGCTGATACGGGGCAAATACTGATCCGTATCGGTTTCTTATAGGTATCTTGATCGGACGCGTGTATATCACACCACGGTGAGATTTACATAATGCATCGCACTGTAGTGTAAACCTCACCCGGGTGTGATTTACACAATACACTACTCCTGTGTATATCACACCACGCGGAGTGTGATTTACACAGTGGGCCGGCAATGCGTAAATCACACCGGGGTGTGATATACACAATGTGCTCCTAGTGTGTAAATCACACCCGGGTGTCAGACCACGCAGCACCTGGGTGTGATTTACACAGTAGGCCCGGCAAATGCGTAAATCACACCGTGGTGTGATATACACAATGTGCTCCTAGTGTGTAAATCACACCTGGGTGTCAAACCACGCAGCACCTGGGTGTGATTTACACAGTAGGCCTAGCCAATGTGTAAATCTCACCAGGGTGTGATATACACTGTGTGCTCGGTAGTGGGTAAATCACACCTGGGTGTCAAACCACGCAGCACCTGGGTGAGATTTACACAGTAGGCACGGTAACAATACACTTAACCAAACCTTAGACCTGACCTGACCTGACCTGACCTAACCTAACCTAACCTAACCTAACCTAACCTAACCTAACCTAACCTAACCTAACCTAACCTAACCTAACCTAACCTAACCTAACCTAACCTGACCTACTGATTTTTGCCTACCCGTGGATGAGGAAGAAGGTACTCGCATGAAGAGATTGCAAGCAATGGTAAGTCAAATATTTTTAGGTTAAGTGGTTGTGCATCAGGCTTCAGGCCTTCGGCCTGAAGCCAGATACACAACCACTTAACCTAAAAATATTTGACTTACCATTGCCTGTAATCTCTCCTAAGGCATTGCCTTCGGCACTGCACCGCTTCGCCACGAGCATTCAGACGTCGCTTTCCATATTGTATTGGTGCTTTTAAACTTGTCGGTCGGCAGCGAACCCACCGCTACCAAGGAAAAGCGAAAATGCGGGAAAAAGCGCCCGCACCGACGGGACTCGAACCCGCAACATTCGTATCACGGTGCAAGCACCTTCACCACCAGGCCAGGCGGTCACCTGATTCCGAGAGAGAGGACGCCCGGAATCCCGCCGGAATATTCGTAGTGCTTAGTCTGATCTGACCAATGGGCGAGCAGAGTCACTGCTCTGACCAATGGACGTTCAGCGTTGCTATGAGGTCACATCGTGGTGAGATATACACACAGCTGCCCTCTCTGTGTATTCCTCACCCGGGTGTGATTTACACTACGTAGTAGATTTTGTGTATATCACACCGGGGTGGGTGTGATTTACACAAATGGCCGGTATTGTGTAAATCTCACCGTGGTGTGATATACACGGTCCCATCTTGATCGGAACATCCCCGAAGGCGAAGACGTATTTTGTAGCGAATGCGCCATTAATGAACGAAAACAGTCTTAAGCACAAGGCTACTAAATAAAAATTGCTCAAAACATTTTATAATTCAAAAAATCGATATTAAGATAACATAAGTGTTATAAAAGTAAAACCTCTATTCGTATTGTGTATATTCCGAATATTCTATTGGCACTTATAAACAGCCAAAAATAGAGGTCAAATATATCCCTTTATTTGCGAAGCCGCATAACGTGCCAGCAGGGGCGACTCCAGGAACTAAAGCTGATGGGGTCGAATCATGCACGCATGTTTTTGGATTGTTCGTCTCGACTCTTTCATGCTCAGACAGTCACACCGACTAATGTTTTTGAATATGAATATGTAGCATCTGACGTTCATATAAACTATACATCTTACGTTCTCCCAGTAGGGCTGCGGAGTCGATGGATTTTAGGGTGACTCCAACTCCGACTCCGTCTTCGGCTTCAAAAATCGACTCCGACTCCGACTCGAACTCCGACTCCGACCCCGGATGGTTCTATTAAAATCCATATCATGATATTGAAGTTCATACCTAATGGATATGTTTTCCAGAATTGGAGGATCAAAAGCATGCGATAGCATGCTTTTGCATCCGGAAATTCCCATTGGTGGGTCGCTGAAAAAAAGTTCGGCTGAACCAAGGCGGCTGAACCTTGGGCTGAACCTGTTTGTCACTATGACCGTGGTTTGTCAGTGAGTATGTGAGTATGTGAGTATGTGAGTGAGTTTGTCCAAGCTTTTTTGGACCTGGAGTCAAAATGGGTGGACCGATCGGGACGAAAGTGGGACCGTTTGATTCGTCTCCGGCGAGGTAAACTTTTGGTGCTGGCCTCGGTTCGCTCGGTGCTTCGTGGCACATGCTATTCCGCTTCAAAGTTTCGGTGACACGAAATTTTTTGTCAAGGCTACAGGTCAACCCGAGGTCACGGGCAAAGCCATACTGGCGGGACACATCGGTAACACCTTGAACCAGTTTCCAGGGGGGTCACCGTCTGCGAGGGGTGCAGGCTGCAGTGCACGTGCTGGGGTCGGAAAACCGTTTTGACGTGAGGTCCTATGGCTCAAAGAAATTTTAAGCTATCAACCTCAAAATCGGTTCAATGGTAGTCCCAGGCAAGGCCTCCAAAATAATGCACATTTGGTTGAGCTAAACTCTGTGGTGCATGAGCTATGCACGTGCAAGCCGATTGCACCCCTTCGTACGTTGCCACGCCTGCAGGGTAAACGCAGCTCTAACTGGTTCAAAACTTGCAGGTCATAAGAAGAATACATTTGATCACGACATTCCGGCGAGATAATATCCGAGGGGTGCAAGCTGCGCGTGCGGGGGGCTATGGATCGTGGGCTATGGATCCTCCAATTCTGGCCCAAGGCAACGCACGAGCGCTGCCGGCATCTAGTTATATTGCCTGAAACGATCCCTTGTGCGTTCCAAGGCTTTGCGTTGTATTGTAAATATGCATTAAAAATAACAGTGCAGAATTAAGAAGCAGATTCTGGGGCATTCACCGTCTTCTGCTTCTTTCGCTGGAAACGTTCGTCCAAAACAGCAAAATTGCCTTTTTTCGACAAAATATAATTTCGAGTGCAGTATCGTCAATCAACCAGGTGCAGTGCATGACGTTGAGCCATGCAGCGTTAACTACGACCCCGGAGTCGGAGTCGGTAAGATTTTGGCGACTCCGACTCCGACTCCGGGAAGAACTGTCGACTCCGATCGGCTCCAACTCCGACTCCGACTCCGACTCCGCAGCCTTGCTCCTTACAGCACCAATTAGGTACCAAAGAATAAAAATAAAGGGGCGGGCGCCGGTATATTATTTCGGTCCAGCCTCAAATGTCAAAAAGACCTCTACGGTTGTGCGTGAGTGCCGGGTGCCCCAAAAGTATCCATAGATATACATCCTCATTCCTCATCCCTAACTGTAAAAACAAACATGTGATATAATAGGTATACACACAACATTCCTAGACTGTCAAAAATGAAATGATTTCGAAACAAAAAAATGTAAACGGATGACGTAATTTACACTGGAGATGTGAAATATGCATCCTATTTCATTTCAAAAGTGAAAACTATCCTCCATCGAAAAACGCAGTGGCCAGGGTATGCCAAACCTAAAACCTAGTAATGCAACATCATTTTTGACGAGTGTGAGCTAGACGGAAACCATTCATACTTCCTCATATATTTACATATACATTACACACACAGTTTTCGTCGGAACTGCGCGCACCACACCTTGCTGTCAGCCATAACGAGCCATAACGGCATTTGTCTGTTTGGAGTTCTATATAGCCTTGGTCTGTTCAAGGTATATAAAAACACTGGGTCTGTTCATCACGCGTGACATGTAGCCGATCATTTTTACAAAGCGGGCCTATCATGACCATTATGCTGATTATATTACAACGCACGTGCACTAATTCATAGCATATCCTCAAATTTACATAAAATAAGATAACGCGCCACTCCCCGAGAATTATATCCGTCTGATTCCTAAAGCAAAGTTCATATGACAAAATTGCAGATAATCTGAATGTTGTTCGTTATGCGAGACCCACCCACATTATCTGGAGCTCTCAGATAAGTCCTCTGGAAAAGTCGCGCGACCACAATTACAAGCAATGTACACAGGATAATCCTGTGTAATGCATGCTTCAGATATGAACGCAATAAACCGTCTTCCGCGTGAAACATTATGTAATGTTGTATTGAATCATCTTAGAGGCGTGATTACCGAGATGTCTGGTGCATGAAGGTGACTTTGATGTCAGGGTGGGGATGCGAAAACTGGTCTGAAAGATACTTAAGCAAGCTGCGGGAAGTACATGATTGTTAAAAATTTCCAGTTTAGAGAAATAAACTACGCAGCATAGGCGTTACCTGTCCTTACAGTTGACACTAACATGTGTTTAGTGTTTGCTGATCATATCGTGGTAATACCTGCCTGTTCGTTGGTGCGTTAAAATAAGCCGATGCTTATCACCGTAGAACAAAATCAGCTATCTCCGTTCAGACTGTGTGATCACGAGTCAAAATATTTGTGCTCGCCAAAAAGCAGCAATTACGTTTAAACTTGGTCGAACAAAAAACAACACTTCTCATCAAATGGGCTACTGGTAGGCACTGACATTATAGACTACTGTGCTCAGTTTTTATCCTCTTTTTATTTAGAGACGTCCAGCAAACCGGCCATCTATTAAGTATGTTTCTTGCTAATCAAGTATGGGTCTATTTATCGGATTATTTTGTAGTTACTAGTTAGTCCTTTTTAATGGACCATTACTGGGAAGGTACCCAATACCCTTGGCACTGACTTTGACCTTCACTTTCTTAGTCTTGGGTATTTTTATATTCATTTTCGGTCCCGATGACTTAGCTCGAAATTAAGAAGTCAAGCAATGGAAAAGACAGACATAATCACGTTATCCTTTTATATAATTCTGTCGGGAAATTACACCATCTCGTCACATTCGGAAGTCTGAATACTGAACATAACCGGAAATTCCAATCAGCAGGTTTATATAATAAATAAGACGACGTCTCGACGGGGAAGGACCGGTTGGAAAATCTCAGTGATTCTTTCAGCAGAAAAACATAACTTATGTAATAAAGCTAGCCAAGGTGCGACACTCGACAGTGAGCACTGAGCAGTTCAGCTTAATTTTCAACTACATAATTAATATGGCGCTTTCATTCATACCGATTGAATATCGATATTTTTTCGTTAGATAATGTGATTGCTTTCAACTCTCAGACCATCGGCTTACCGCTAAAAATATTGTTCTTGTTTCCGGCTGAGCCGATTGCGCCACCATTTGGTATAGGGACTTAGGTTAGGGGCAGGCTACAAGGGTGCCGTGAAAAATATGTTGACCCATGTTTTACTGTGCACGTGCAAGTTGCAACGTGCAGGAGCCCGCTTCGACAGCTCGAAAACGGCTGGGCCGATTGCGCTCAAATTTGGAATTTTGGTAATTTTCAAAATGAAGTGGCCCAAATGCGAACTAATAAAAAATGGGGTAGTTTGGTTTTGATTACCCAAGCTGCCCTCCCCTCCACGGTTGGATAAAATGGAATGAAGGCAAAAATAGGTGAGCCACTTTGGGTGGGCCGACGAAATTTACTTAGCGTAAAAAATTCATAGGGGTAGCTCTGAAGTCTGATATGGTGGCATTCCTCTCATTTCCTTTAAAGTGACCATCCCACCTAACATTAGTTTTGAGTTGAGATAGTCAAATTGGGGTCCCTAGCCTGCATTTACCGATTTGGGCAATCACAACGAGAACTGTTTTAATTCGGAAATATTAAATTTCAAAGTCTGCAGTTTTCGAATCTTAAAAGGCTAATGCATTTGAATGCCCCCTTCGACGGCGCAGAGGTGAAGTCCGCAGTAATTTTGATATATTTAACTTTTTTTTCTTCAAATTTATGTGATTACGTTATTCGACATTTCGCGAAATGAAGTGGTCTAAATCCGAAGAGAAATTTAATTTGGGGTAAGTAACTACCTTGGTTTTGTCCCCGGAATCGGTCTCCGCCACAGCCATGAGTAGTTAAGTAATCTTGATGACCCTTGCCCCCACAACTTCAAACTAGTTTCCGCGTCCCTGATACCTTCGAAAAGCATTGATGCCCCTTGAGACCCCACTTTTTTGCGATAATTTGTAAATGCGTCAACTCTCGTTGACAATATTCTGGCAATATGTGTTTCAGAACCTGCCGAAACTTTTATTACTAAGGTATTTTGACGCCAAACGATTATGAAAGGTACTTCTCATTCACTCGTAATGTTAAATTTTACGGAACGTATCTGCTGTTTGGGTAGAGGCTACGCGCTCATGGGGCGGAGCCACGTAATGACGTCAGCGCTAAGCTCCGCCCTACCCCTCCGGCGCTCCTTGCCCGGCGACCGGTCACTCGCGTCTCTCGCTCCATTCAGGCTTGATGGTGGGCGGTAGGTGGTAGCGGTAGCGGGCGCTGGTAGATGGCATTTAGAGCAGATGGCGCTGGTGGCGGGGCTCGAGTGTGGCCGAGCGCAAGCCTCTCCCCGGGCCTGAATTGACCTTAGCATTACGAGTGAATGAGAAGTACATACCTTCCATAATCGTTTGGCGTCAAAATACCTTAGTAATAAAAGTTTCGGCAGGTTCTGAAACATACAATGCCAGAATATTGTCAACGAAAGTTGACGCATTTAAAAATTATCGCAAAAAAGTGGGGTCTCAAGGGGTTTGACGTTCATAGTACAAGATGTGAATAATAATGATTCGCATTACACTAATAATAAACGTCATTTGGTTGCATCTCGAGTTCGATTAGAAATAATTGTAACCATAATCAGCTAACGATTATCGCGTTATCAAATGCAGACTTATTTTCTTCGCGGTGGCTTCTCGTCGCTCGAAACACGCGGAAAAATTGATCCCCCCGAGCCATTACGCCTGGGATCGCCGCTTCGCCGCTGGCCTTGAGAATCAGCTGTCTTCAAAAGAGGTGCGCGCGAGTGGCGCGGCGCAGACGATTCTCGTCCGTCGGCGTGCGTGGTTGGGGACGGCCGGTCGTCGGAAACAAAATTCACAGTTTTAATCAATTCTGTGCGCGTGATTTAGGTCTTGTTCAAGAACTACATTGCAAAGATGGAGACCGTTTCTATGAGTATGCCCAATTACTCGTACGTATTCAAGTTCGAGGAAGACTTCGCCGAGAAGGAGAGACGCCAGTGGATGTCAGAAAATTGGTATGTCTGCATGTACTACATAGGCGCTTACATGATTTTCATCGTCGTCGGCCAACACTACATGCAGTCTCGCCCGCGGTTCGAGCTCCGGAACACTCTGGCCCTGTGGAACTTCTTTCTGGCGGTGTTCAGCATCATCGGCACCATGAGGACGGTCCCAGAGATGCTGTTTGTCCTGAGGCATTTCGGATTACATCACTCCTGCTGTGTGGCTGGCCCTAGGTGAGTTTTGCTGTCATTTTGTTCATCACTGAATTTTGGAATGTTTGTTTCTTCATTCAAATATTTTAAATGAGTTCATTTAGTTTTGAGCAATGTAGTTCTGCCTCTTGGCATCTTGGCAATCTATTGGAAAACTTTAATTTGTTCCATAGAATTACCATATTTTTCCTGCCCTTAATGAGGAAAAATGCAGTCAGGTCACTTGTGCAGAAAGTCAACATCTATTGATCTAAGATATACCATAATCCAACAAATCCTTTAACATGCTTCCAAATTTTTATAATTTCAGCAGTTTTCATTTTTTATTTTTCTTATTTTCAGCAAGATCACGTACACATTCAAGCATGTGACCAATGCCCTTTCTCCACCCACAGCTTTGTTCAGAACAACACTGTGTCTGCCTTCTGGAGCTACCTGTTCACCATGTCCAAGGTGCCTGAGCTGGGTGACACCGTCTTCATCGTGCTGAGGAAGCAGCCGCTCATCTTCCTGCACTGGTACCACCATGTCACCGTCCTGATCTTCACCTGGTACAGGTAGGTGCCTCAGAGGGGCAGAGTTGCTATTAACTTACTAACTCATTTGGTTTATATTTCAGCCCATTTAGCCAGCCAGCCAGCCAGCTTTATAATTATTTCCTAGTTATTGACATAGTGTGATTCTGTCTCTATGCAGAACTTTTTAAGAGTAACACTATTAGAGTAAAACTACAGAAAACTCTATAAGAGTAAAATCGCCTATGGCAAACACAGATCATCACACTCCATATTATGTGCTTTTACATAAATACAGATTGTAGACACTAGCCTGATATGCTATGACTTTATTCAATAAATGCAAGAAGCAAGAGACATTTAATGGGGATCATAACCCTCCTCATCTCATAATGCATTCATTTATTTCACTAGTGGGGAGTGGTGTACCTATTATTCCCATATTAGATAATAGATGATATCAGTACTAATGGATATTTTTCTTTATATTTAACATCTCTTAAATTTGTCTGAGTATATCAGTCCCACGCACAAGGGGGAAAAGCTCAAATTATTGAGCGCTCAAAAAATTGAGCGGGCCCCATTATGAAGGAATAGGCGAAACGATGGTATTTTACAATGCCTCTAGCGTCACACTACGGCAAATATCGTATCCAAATAAGGTATCAATGGCAAGAGAGAGCGACAAGGTTTCTTCTCGAACACTCGCCGTGATAATTTATATCGGTGTTTTCGGAAAGAAAATGCCCTAAAGACGCTCAACTTTTTGAGCGCCACTTGTCGTTCGGGACCGCGATACTCAATAAATTGAGCGCCACGACAGACGACAGTCAGCTGGCGCTCAAAAAATTGAGTGCCGGCCAGCATCTACACTCAATTTATTGAGCCTTCTCCGTGACAGGTGAAGCCGGTACTGGCTGCCATTTTTGATGTTATGTTCGTTGAAATACGTTAAACTGAGTTGAAACAGAAATGCAGGAAGTTGAATGCTACGTGGTACCTAAACTTTTCACAAACCCATGGCATCATGTCACATTTTCCGCTAGTAGTTTTATCGGTCGCCTTGATATTTTCTGACAGTACTGGGAGAAGGGAATACGTGATTACAGAAAGATATCCACCCACGCTTGAATATTGGAGAATTATACAGGAAAAACTGTATTGCCACGGTTACAACTTACAAGGCCATCGGCCGCAAACAAACAAAAATACTATACAATGTGGGTTAGATTCACAAACATCATCAAGTGTGGAACACAGAGACGAGCAAAACAACATCACATTATCGCATGCCAGCCCGACCACATTGGAACCGGGTGACCTGCGACCGGAACCTGCGTCTTGCCAGCATACATCACAAAAGCAGGAGGCAGTGTCGTACTGCTTTGATCCAAAATATGCCATATAACAAATGATATAAACGACCTAAGCTCGGACTAAGCTTATCATTATCAAATCCTTAACATGTAAAAGACGAATGGAAACATCGAGTCTCAGACCAGCAGTAGCAACCATCACAGTAGCAACATCACAAAGAACACGCGGCATTATCAGACAGCCGTTTTGTTATCGGGCTACAGGCGGCGACGGCGTGGTTGCAGACCAGCTGCAAGGTAGCGGCGTGCGGGCAAAAGGCGCGGGCACACCTCCATGTGGCCGTGTGGACAGTGCGCGGTCGGCATCGCATAGTGGGCGGCATCGGGCTGTCCCGGGCCGTCGAAGCCGCACAGGTTGTCGGCGCATGTGGGCGCGCGCGGTCACCACGGCCAGCTGCTCACCGCCAGCACAGACTGCGCAGCGTCGCCGCTCCGCCGGCCAGAACACGCAGACAACCCTTCTTGCAGTCGCACAACACGTCGCCAAACTCATTCACCTGCTCCACCATGTTGTTGATGTCACCGAGTCGTTCAAGTTGTGGCTCGTGCCGTCGAGCATGACCTGCCCGATCGGACACGGGTCAGCGGCTTCTGCTCCAGCGAAGTCTTCATCTTGGTGACGTCTTGCTGATCTCCACAAAGGCTGAGCAGATGACCTTACCCACAGGGACGGCCGACGTCCTCGCCAGCGACCGCTTGGTTGTGCAGACCTGCCAGAAAAAGAAAAGCTGTTTGGTGATCTCAAACGATTTTTTTTTCTTTATGCAGTGGAACAAAATGGAAAATATGTCATACAACAGGAACTAAAAAAAGATGCAGCCTAGGTCGTCTAAGAAATGGGTGCAACATTGATAAAATTCTTCCTTGAATGAATTCTACAAATGCTTTTGATAAAATGTGTGGTGATTATAAGGAGACCACTTAACTATAAAATTGCTCAGGATTCCCTATCTGGACCTGTCAAAAAATCCTGACTGCACACCAACAACGAGCATTAAATCCGAAACCTCTACCAGGTACCTAGGGATAATTAAAATCTGATTCAGGAAAATATTTCACATCATACAAATAAAAACCTTTACTATATTGAAACTGAAAATGTGATGCCGATCCAGTGACCTAAGGGTCTCAAAGTATAATAATGAATTAATCTATTATAAATTTGGTGGTGACTGCCAACTGGCGTCTGGCAGCCTAAACCTGGAGGCTTGAAAGTGGCCTTCCTTTTCCGTTGACTCCGATCCTCCAGATGGAAATGATATAAAGGATCATTTTTATCTTATTTCAAATGAGCCAGTCAGCAAAGTGGCTATCCTGTTTCAGCATTCACACACAATAGTTGACTGTCAGTCTGTCATGCTGTCAGTGTTGTGAAGTAACGAAGGAGTTGAGTTTTGTTGATTGTAAATTGTGATGTTATGTAAAGGACTGGAAAATGAATGTGAAAACTATGGAAACATATTGGCAGAGTATTGTCACTTACTATCAGGACATATGGATAGAGAATACATTCAAATTAATAAGAAATGCCAAATATCAAGGTACTCAATCACTGATAGCAGTGGACTATCATATGTTTTAATGTCAATTATATGAAAGTTAAGACTGAAACTACCTTTTACTTCATCATACCTAATGAAAAATTGTGTGAAGAAAACATTCACAGCCTCTTTGAAGCACTTAGACCACTAAAAACAGAAATTTTCACGTAAATATGTTGTGTCTCTTTCCCTCAAAACATCATATCGGATGGCGCCACTTTCGTCGACAGTTACTTATCTGCACGCAAATCGAGGAAAACGTGAATTGATTGACGTTTACGTGTTTCCAAATTTAAAATCACAGCATATTCAAACTTTTCAGTGTACCTTTTAACATCTAAATATAACTAAAACGATAAAAACTTACCTTCAACACAAGGACGACGACAACCACGCGACCGGAGACGTCGCGACGAAATAAACAAACGGCGCCGCCAAATGAAAAATATTCTCCGATATGGGTGATGTGAAATTGAGTCGCAATCATTTTGAGTAGTATGAAAAATGCTCTTTCCAACAGAACCCTAGTAAAAAACGTGAATGGACAAAAAATAACTTTTATTTCGACATAAATATTGGCCTGTTTTTAAGGCATCCTGGTATGCCGTAAGATTTCGACCTAGAAATTGGTGTTCCCCCAATCATTGAAGCTTGAGCAGTGAAAAATATGAAAGCCTAATCTGTTTTGCATCATTAGTGATTCTCCTAGGGTGTTGCCATTTCTCCCTAGGTGTTGCGAGTTGCTTTTGCAAAACGTGTTCCTGAAACGGCTCAATTTTTTGAGCCCTCAGCATTACGCCTATGGGAGCCTCTGACGTCACACGCTCAATATTTTGAGCGCTCAATAATTTGAGCTTTTCCCCCTTGTGCGTGGGACTGATATATAGGTAACAAATTATTGATATAATCTAACTTGTCGAACCACAAAAATCTAATCGAGAGCAGTTACACTTTCGCTACCCTCATCATTTATTTAAACATGCCTAATGCCTGACACCAGATCCGTCATCCAACCAATAAAACAATGCTCGGGAGCATCGCTCAAATAAACATTATATTATTATTAGATGCAACTCCCTCTTTCAGGTACTCAGTGCCATCTAGTCTGCTGACTCATATGCCTCACCTCGTAGCAGACATGTAACTTATGCGATATTACAACTGAGACTATTATCCCGGATGTACCCGTTTTGTAATTCCTGATTACCTCGTCTGGCTCATCATTTCCCATAGCCGGGAATCTGGCGTGTAATCGTCGTGTAAGCATTTTAATGGGATGGTTTGCGGCTCACCCAAAACCGGTTTTTGCTCTTGATGGATGTGATATGTATCGGGACTCGGGTTGATGTAATGGGTGTTTAACTATGAGTATTATGTCAGCGTCTCGCTTGGAGGGCGAGAGGATGATTTATAAATTGAGGAGTGGCAAGGTGGCTTACGATCGCCGCCATTTTTTACGAAATAGTGTTTGATTCACATTTGAAGTCGATGTGACATTCCGCAGCTAGACTATCCTACTACTTACATTTGTATTTTGGTTATTATTATTTCTCTGCATATGATCATCTTACTCAAAGCCGTAATCGCCATGCCATATGTGGAAGGCTTTTGATGTCAATACATACATACATACATACATACATACATACATACATACATACATACATACATACATACATACATACATACATGCATACATACATACATACATACATACATACATATTATTCCTGTCATTCTTTCGTCCACCTTTTTTCGCCTTCGTCTCCGCTCTGTCGTTCCTGCGTCGCCGTCGTTTCGACGTGGCTCCTATCGAGCCGAACCTCCGTTCGGATGGATTACAGCTAGTGCTGATTAGTTCATAATGGGCTCGGACGTATCATTACGTCCGTCTTTTTATAGCTCGCTCATCAAGCGGCGTAGATATCGATCCGTGCTCTGCTCTTATGACGACGCCCCGAAGCGTCGTCCGTTGATGCGGGTAGAGTGACGGATCTGGTATGCAGGAGGGGAGAGCAGGGAGAAGGGAGAGGGTCGGAGGAGCAATGATGAGGGACGGGGGAGAGCGTGTCTTACCGATTGTCGATCGGCCACCCACGTACCGGAACTGAAGGGTATTATCGTA